AATTTCAATATCTCCATTTCCAGATTTTCAAGATCTAACTATTATAAGCAAGAAAGATCAAGTTCTTCAAACTTGGGTTTACATGAGGAAGTAAGAAAACACATGGTTGTTTCCATCTGATTGAACTGTAGAAATCTGTCATTAAAATTCTCCTTTGCAGCTGGTATGATGTTAAAAAATTCCTTGTAGTCTTCATGACTTGAAGGATTGTGCACAAATTGTGTAGAATTTTCTAGATCAGCGCTGTCCAACTTATCATATCCCGCAGGCCATATTTTCTTCACCAAATATTTGGGGGGCCAAGAAGGTTGATAAATGAAAAGTCAGTTTATTTTAATTAAAAAAATATTTTATTTATACTAAAAAGAAAACTTCAAAATATTCGTAATATATTGATGAGAACATTGTGGCTGTAATTGTTTAGCAACAATATCTTTTATGGCCACATCGATATTTGTTGTGGCAAGTCTAATTATATCATCAAGAGTGGAATCTTTCAAACTGTTTCTATATTTTGACTTTATATATTTCATATCGGAGTATGCACGCTCGCAGATATATGTACTTTCGAACATTGATACAATTTGAAGTCCAAAATCTCTCAATTTTGGATATTTCTCTTTATCTAAAAATTTGAATATTTCTATTCCAGTTACTCCATGAGATGTGAAAAATGGGTCAGCCCGCAGGTCGCATAATTCTATTTGATATTTAAGATCAACAGAGTTGATATCAATATTAATTGAATCATTAGATAAATCAATAGACGGTTTAAGATAATCAAATTGAGAAAATCTTTCATTGAAATCTGTTATTAACATATCCAATTTTGGTAGAAATATTTTTAAATTCGCTTCTATATTACATTCCTTCATTTCTTTATAGATCTCTTTGCAAGATTCAAAATGAAATAAATTATTTTGCTCCAAAGTAAACCTTAACAATTTTAATTTGTTTCTAAATCCAATAACACATTTATAAAGGCAAAACACATTTTGATCTTGTCCTTGGAAGGATTTATTTAAAATATTTAAGTAATTTGTAATATCCGTTAGGAAAGCAAGTGAGTAAATAAAGTTTTTATCAACTAAATTTTCATCGACGACAATTTCTGTGAGAAAAAGATAACTTCTTTTTAAAGTGTAAAAAATCTCCTCAAGCACTTTCCAGCACTTAACCAATGAATGTTACTATGTAAAAGCATATCTCCATACTCAGTTTTCAATTCATCCAAAAAATGTTTTAAATTTTCGGTGTGTAAGAGAACAATTTCCGCTGCGAATTAGTAATTTTGCAAACCTTGTCCATTACGTCTTTTAGTTGTAGGGATAAACCACATAAGGCCTCCTGATGGATAAATACAGTGTAACATACGACATGTTATTCCTTCTTTTTGCAAAAGTTCCCGGTGAGCCCAATATTTTTGCCCGTCACAGCTCTAGAACCGTTGGTTACAATAGCAATGCACTTATGAAATCCACCATACTGCTCTACTGAAAATTTTAATTGTTTGTAAATATCTTCACCTTTTGTTGTTCCTTATAATGATTGTAATTTTAAAAGTTCTGAATAATTATAGTTTCCATTTACAGTTCTTATAAAGATAAGCATTATACTTGTATCGGAAATGTCTGTGCTTTCATCCAATGCAAAAAATAGCAGCAACTATTGATTAGGTTTTCTAATTTATTAGTGACATGTATGCTAATCTCGTTTACACTTCGGCTTACAGTCTTGTGAAAAAGTGATACTGTTTGAAATTTTCCTACCATTTCGTTGTCATTAAATGCTTGAGCCATTTTTATGGCACATTTTTTAATGAATTCTCCATCCAAAAATGGCTTCTTTGCCTTTACTATTTCTAAACAAACTTCAAACGATGCAGCTACAGATGCTTCTTGAAATTTTGGTTCTTGATTAAAATAAATCTTTTGATGATCCAGCTGCTTTTTCATTTTTTTCACTAGTGGTATTTTCATGTCTCACGTGTACGAATGATACTTTTTTTCATGCATGGAAAGATAATGGCGCTTCAAGTTATATTCTTTACACACAGCTATGATTTGTAAGCATTTCAAACACTTTGGTTTACCATTCTTGTTCAGAATAAATAAATAATCTATCTCCCAGCGATCTTGAAATTCTCGATTTTCGAGATCTATTTTTCTTTTATTAGTAGCACTCATATTCAATAATTATTTTAATTAATAAATAAATATGAAATTAAGTTAATAATATTATAACACAGTCACCCCTCAACAAATTCTTGACAAGACTGCACTCGCACGATTGCATGAATCAACCAAATAGCTCAGGGTAGTGTGCGCATCACGTGCGCCAACCATAGATAAACAATAACTAACCACAAATACTTGTATAATATGTGGCGCCAACGTTGAGTCCAACTATCATCAGACGTTAAACGGATTGCTGCTGTATTCAGTCCAGGTTAAGTGAAGTTACGCAAACTAAATAGTACCTACTTTAAATTCAAATTAGATTTAAATTTTCACATAGTAAAATAATTTAATATTAATAATAATAATTTAGTAACATAAATTGATTTATAGTAAAATAAACTCGCGGGCCGTGTACGACCTGCGGGCCGCCAGTTAATTAGCCTGTTCTAGATGCATCTTTAGATTTGGAAAATATTTCAGCTGCGCATTTGCCAAGATCTCTTTCAAAAACATGCAGTTTTCTTTCAAATGTTTTTATATCGTAAAACATCCTTTCTGCCGTTTTTCCCAAGCCTTTTAGTTGCTTGTTCAGTACATTGGAGTGTTGTGTAAAATATGTAAAAAACATAACATTGTTAAGCCAGACCATATCAGTTAGCGATGGATAATCCTGCCCTTTTTCATTAAAAAATAATCTAATTTCATCCAAGCAGTTTACAAATCTCTCTAAAACCCATCTTCTGCTCAACCATCAGACATTATTGTATATAAGCAAAGTGTTATATTGTGCATGAACCTCATTAACACTAGAACGGTGGGAAAATCATACCTTTTGGAACAGCGGTAAGAAGTCATTTTGACCCTTCGATGAAAGTACTGAGATAACAACGGTAAAACAATTTTAAATGCCATACATTGGCACAAATATGTACTTTATATGTATTTCATAATTTATACTCAATATCACATGCTAATTTATTGACTTTTTAAAATACTGTAAATGTATCGAGTACATGGCAATTAATTGGATCATACTACAATTACTCAAATAATAATTAATTTGATATAAGAACTGATTTTAAATAAATGGTTTTACAAATTAAAACTAATGTTAACTAAAATAAAACATAATTTATATAATAATATCTTTTCTGATGTTTCAGTTATATCATTATATGTGTATAGAGATTACACATACATATTAAGAATTAATACAGTTGATACAAAGATAATTTTTAACAATTTTTTCCAGTGCATTTCCACATACAACTTTGGAACAAGATACACAATATTCTTGAGATTTGTTTCCATTGCATCTCTGTACTTGACACTTTTTTTCTCTTCATATCTCTTTATATCCGTTTTTGCCCGTTTATTTCTGCTAAGTTCTTCGTTTACATCGCCATCCTCAGATTGACTAATAGTTTGTGTCTGGAATTCATCTTCAGTTTCTACAGAAAAATTATCAATTTCAGACTCATTTTTAGATAGCTCCTGCAACAATTTTTTAATTTCTTCATCCGCAAGACCTCTTTTCCGCTTATTAGACATATTTTGTAAAAGTTGAAAAAAGTAGAAAATATCAGATTATCAGAAAACGATAGGGAATATATTTTAGCATATGATTCTCGCAGTATAAAGGAAAAGTGATAATGAACGTGACAGCAGAATTCATATGTACTGAAATACTGATTTGGAATTACCAAGAAAACATCTGTCTTAACTCTTATCACCTGCAATAAGTAAGCTGAACTAACAAACTGGAAAATACATCTGTAAAATAAACTATTTCTGAAAAGAAATGTAAGCATGAAAAACCCTGCATCTACCTTCCTTGCAGTATTTTCTTCAAACAAATAGATAATTGCAAACAAGGGAACAACAACTTATGTAGACATTACAAACTAGTGAGACTACACAGGTCCCTCTAGGAGATAGTATGAATGCAATCAAAAAATCCTTATCAGTGAATGTTTTTCATGTGTTATTTGACAATGCCTCCAGCAGAAAGAGGGATAAAAGTGAAGGGGTCAAAATGACCCTCCGTCCGCCGTTCTAGGAATACATGCCAATATTTCAAAAACTAAAAACCTAGAATACTTAAATTTTTTTTTAAATATTTGTTATCTACTTAGGAAAAGTCAAAAAATTCCAAATGATTTCTTCCAATAAAACGAAAGTAATCAATGGTCAAAATGACCCCTACTGCTGTTCTAGTGTTAAGAAGTGTTTGAAACTGTCGACAATTAAGAGCTCGAGCCATTGGTGTAATTCACCATTTTAGTGACATCTTTGAGAACATCGTCTAATATTCTGCAGCTGTCTTGTGCAGCTTCTTGGTGAATGAGACAATGAAACTGAATAACTGGATGTTTTGCTTCTTTAACAGAGAACTGTATGAAACTAGATGTTGTTCTCAACGTGCAAGGTGCACCAACACTAGTAATTGAAACTACTTTTTCTAGTCTTATGTCTTGTTGGAGAAAAGCTTCCATCACAGCATATCTATGTTTTCATTGAGTAACAGGCAGTGGTGAGCGTGCCAGCTGATGAGGCTCTGCATGCCGCAGGTTCGCCATCACTGGTCTAGATAGATGTATTAAAAGTTGATATGTGAAACACAAGTGTGCCAGAAAATAAATACCTTTAATATTTGAAATTTGTTTATTTTTACGTTTCTGTGCATATGTTTATTGCTAATTATTTTAATGGCAGTTTATAAGAGTTTTTATCTATTTCAGGAGAAAAAACAAATTTTGGGTACAAATGAATATGACTCATTTCTGTAATGAACTAATGATTGTATTTATTGTATTACAGATTGTATCTGGTAGTCATTGTGTAATGTATGGAATTTGTGGTGAAAATGATTTTGGAGAAGCTACTTGTGCATATAATGGAACAGCTAAGCTTTTAGATAATGAAGAAGCACTAGAAATCCTACAAGAGATTTGCCCTGACGTCTTACGAGGTACGAATTTTTTCAGTGTTAAATTTTTTTAGCACTGGGATTTTGTTTCTGTAACTAACTTTTTCAGTGTCTTGTATGAATGTGAGTCAATTGAACTAACCTTGTAATTGATTCTCATTTTTATGAACCACCAATTTATGAACTAAGATGTTGATCTAAACTTTTTAGCAGTTCTTGGAGTTCATGAAATCAAGTAGATACTGTGTACTTACAATTTGCCTCATTTTAAAGACTATAGCTTTATTTGTTTCTGAAGTTTGTGTATCATATTTTAAAAAGAAAGCTTTATCATAACAGGGATCAGCTTGAATTAAAAAAAATAATAAAAAAATGATTTAGAAGAATTGTGTAAGAATTACATTTTAACAAACTTTCAGACTGAGTTCTTAATGTAGTAGTCATATTGTGATTTGGCTTATAAGGTTATTATCATTGGAGAAATTTCTGTATAAAACATTACAGTAAACCAGTTAATTTGGGACAAAATCTAATGTACATATTAAATTAATGGATTATTTTTTATTTAATTTCACCTTAAGCATACATTTCTTAGAATACTTTCTTTTTCTTTCGTTCTTTTTCTAATTAAATAAGATTTTTTTTTAAGTTTAAAAAAAGTAATCATTCATGATCTAATTAAAATATCTTCTTTTTTACAATTAAAATCTTTTGTTTTGTCTGGGAAAGCTGTCCAGTTTTTAAGTATTTGTAAACATACACAGTAAATTTTTCAAATATGATCCATGCCTTCTTGCGGATACCTAGAGTCAAAGGAAATAAGGAGGAGTGCAGAAAATCCGACTAAAAGGAGACTGAATAATTGTAAAACCCATAAATTTTATTTCTGAGATGGTGAATAAAATACATATTTATTTGAAGAAGTGATTTTTCACATATATATGTTATGCTAAAGAATTCGTTTTGTCCTTACTTGTTACATGTTTTGCCATGTTTAAATTTGAAAAGCCAGTTTTGTGGTAATTACAACATCTTTTTATACAATCCATTGGTCTCTATAATTAATTACATTTAGGAAAATTTTATTTTCATTGTAATGTAATAAAAGGTTTGACTCCCATACAATAACAATTGACTGATTGAAATTTAATTTCAAAATCTTTAGTTTTTAACATTATTTTTCACTTGCCTTGAGAGTTCAGTTGATAAATAAATTCAAAGTTGATTTTTTTCCTTGTTAAATGCCATTTAGTGATATTCTTTATGATGTACTAGTGTGTAGCATTCTTTAAAATTTATAATTACGCTACATATGGTATACCAAAAGAACTTGCACACAATTTATGTTTTCAGATTCTAAAAATGTTATATTTTTAATTTTATATGCAAATAAAGATTGCAAATTCTGGAAGATTCTTGTTTCTCTTCTGTGTTTGGAAATGAATTCACAGAAATTAAGGTCATTGAACAAAGAGAAATTAGTAATAATTACTTACGCTTTGATATTCATTGCAGATAAATTTTGTAGTCTTAAAATTTAATTTGAATACAGGGTGGTCATAAAAAAAAAAACTTCCCCAATATATGAGCCACTAGTGGTCTATCCGCTCAACCAGTCAAAAGGAAATTTCAGATGTTGTTATGGAAAGGTATGTGCTAGAGATTCTGGGGACTTAAAAGAATAGAGCTTTTACAATTACGTTTACTACGAAAGTATTTTGAGATTTTTCAACAGCAGCAACATCTACATTTTTTGTGCACAAAATTGATCAGCGCTGTGAAAGACCGTAAATGGCATTGGAACGATACAGGTAGGACAGAAATTGCTGCTGTGGAACATTTGCAAAGAAGAGCATTATGAAGAACCATTGACGACAAAAGAGAGGAGGGAGAAAAAAAAAACTTATTGGAATTGCAAGTTTTCAGTATGCCCATTTTTGCAGATGATAACGCATTGCATATGGGAAATAGATGACAGCAATGAAGAACATAACATTGTAGAACTTTACATTTTATGGCATGTTTCAAGTATGACAAATCTCATGGATTTGATGTGTATACCTTAGATTTCGGATAGCTCCAGAACCTGAAATCCATCGGAGTGAGGCCAGGGGCACACGATAGCCACAAAACTGCAAAGTTGTGGGAGATGACTCTATCTTGAAACATTGTTCATGTTAAAAACTTCTAATTCCAATAAAAGTTTTTTCCAGCTCCTCTGCTGTGTTGTCATTAGTCTTTTACAGTGGTGTTCTTTGCAGATGTTTTACACCAGCAGTCTTCGTCATATTCATGTATCATTCCAATAGTTCATGTACCGGTCCATGTTCATTGTGCTGTTCAGTTTGTGCAGGAAAAAAATGTGGGTGTTGCTTTCAGAAAATTTTAACATTTTTTCATTGTAACCATAACTATGAGAGCTCTATTGTTTTCAATCATCCTTCAAATAACAATACCCGAAATTTCATTTCAATTTGTTGAGCAGAGATAGGCTGCTAAGGGTTCATATATCAGAGAAGTTTTTTTATGACCACCCTGTATATTTATGAAACATATTGAAGTTATCTATCGTTCTGTTTTATGTTCCAAAACAGTTACAAATTTTTAAATGTGTATCTTGAAATTGTTACAGTTTGAAAATTTTGCAGTCTTGTAAAATAAGCCAAAAGTAAAGTTTTGGTAACATCATTACATTTTGAAATGTCTATTATAATTTAATTTATAGCACCTGAAATTGCTTATTTTTAGAAAGTAACGTACTATGCTGTGATGCTGAACAAGTTATTCATCTAAAGAAAAATCTCGAGATTGCTGCAACTTTAGGTCTTGGAAGATGTCCATCTTGTATTACAAATTTCAAAAAGAATTTTTGCCAGTTTGCTTGTTCCCCCAAACAGAGTGATTTTTTGAAGGTTACGGCTATTGGGAAGAGTGATGAGGAAGATATCATAATTGAAAAACTGACATATTACATGTCGCGAAGGTATGTGTACATGTATTTTATGTGTTGAAATAAAATTGGAAGTATGTCTTAAAATTAGCAAACTGAGATTCTTTTACCTCTTTTTATTTATTGTAGCATTTATAAATTCTTTTTAAACATGTAACAATATATATTTGTTCTTTCAAAATTTAACAATATATATTTGTTCTTCCAAAATGGCAGTGTTGTATAAAAAATTTTTTGCTAACAGCTTTGTTACTAAAGGTCGTATTGACTTAATGCATTTAAAATGTCTAACATCTTTATCAGTGAAAACCTTAATAAAAAAAGGAATTGCCAGTCAAAATAGTCACCATCGGCATCCAGGCATTTATGTCATGTATCAAACTGGGAATCTTATGCTTAAATAACTCGCTGGTATGATTTCAAGAATTCTTTGACTACCTAACACACATCATCAGGATTTTGAAACCAGGAAGTTACGAGGAAGTTATTCAAATTTTGATAAAGATGATAAACTGTTGGAGACAAACCTGATAAATATGGTTGAGGAAGAAGTGATGTAGCTTGATAGCTTTTTTTTCTGCGATACATGAAAATGAGCATTGTCATGCAAAAACAAGAACAACATAGCCATTTAAGAACGCTGGTTTCTTCAACTGAAGTTGCAGGTTCTTCTCTTGCAGGCTGATATAGTGATGATCTGGATTCATAGTTTTATCTTGTCTGAGGAAGCAGACAGCATGATACAAGCTGTGCACAAGCAAGAGTGCTTTTCAAGGATGCAGAAGATGGCTTTGAGAAGCACCCTCAATTCTTGTCCACATCCAGCCACTAAGAGGATCTGTGGCAGTTTTATCTTATCAGACCGATTTTCAATTGCTGGTAGCAATTCAGTGTGTCTTTTCTTTATCTTTTCTTTTATTTGTGCGTGAATGTGTCAAATATACCTCAAGTATAAGAGTGAGTTCATGGGAAACTTGTATCCTGTTTATTGGCATTCGCTTTCTTAGGTATCATATGGGTGCTTTATTGATCATTAGTTTCTACACTGTATCAGAAGATCATCTGAAAAATAGTGTGGTCATTGTTCAAGTGGTGCATTTAAGATGTGTTACCTGTACAGATCAGCAAATGTTTGATTCAATATAAAACTCAGTATGGTTATGCCATTTTAGGACACACTTTTTAAATATGTTGAAATCATTTTGTAGCAGATGAAAATACTTCATGAACATATATTCTGCATGAAAAAGTAGTGTTTAACATCTGTTTTACATTTTACTATATAACATTCTGCAGTTACGTTGTACAATTGAATTGTTCAGTTTAAAAGCTGTTTTGTATGTATGTTACATGCTGTGCCAAACATTTATCAGTAAACAGCCTTGTGCCATATGTTTTGTTACTTTTCTCTGAATAACACATTAAAACTGTTATATTGTTTTTATGTAAAATTAGCATTTTATTAAGCATAGAAGTATAAACAATTTTTTTTTTTTAAATCTGAAAGCTCTGATTTAACATTATGCTCAAAGGGACTTTTTTTAACGTCTTGTATGTTACCTTTATTTATTAAATATTATGTTTTTCGCACTTAAAACTTAAAATTCGATTCGGTAGTAGCATCGCAAAATACTTTTAAAATGAGGATATCTTTAGAGTTTCTAATACACAGTCTCGTGTGCTGAAGATCAAAATGTCCCCCCTCCCCCGTAAAGTGTTGCCATTGTTCGCTTTGAAGTCACTGAGTTTGTTAATAAAATATTCGTTACAGTTTTACAAAATAAGAAATAGATGATAAAACAAATTCCAAATGTAGGCGTCCAGATGCCAGGAAATGTACGTTATTCAAAGTTTGATGGCTCTAGGTACCATTGTTTAATCACAGTGTGAGAAACATGCATACTTATGTTCAGATGCTTCATTAATTAATTTCTTTAAATATAATGCTGGGCTCTAATATTTGGTGGCAACAGTTTAAGAAGTGAACCGACATTTATAGTGAACCAATGCAAAAATGCCGAAATGAAATTAATAGTCCTTCTGCCCCTTTGGACTAATAATGAAGGCTTTATAAAGTATGCATACCTTGTTTCAGAAGTTTGAGAATAGTTTGTGTTACATAAATTGGTTTTTATAAGGATTTCAAATATATGTAAGGAACTGAGGTGTCAGTTGATTACTTAATATTTAGACTGTTATGTATGAAATGCTTGATTTGGGAAACAATATTAAAAACAGATTGTACAGATATGAGCTTTTATCATCCAGATTTGAACACTGTAGTGATCTGATTAATAAAGTTAATAGTTTTCAGCTTATTTTAAATGAACTAAAATTCTTAAGGTATCTTAGCAATCTGGTTAATACATTTAATAGTTGTAAGCCTGTTTAAATTAAGATTGTGTAAAAAACGATCGTAAACAGTGTGGCTAAGAATAGATGTTTTAATATATAACATAGTATTGATTTATAAGTAATAAAATTTTCATCTTGTTCAGGTATGCAGAGGAAGCTTTTGCTTCTTGTAAAGATATCCAAGGCTTGACTCCTGGTTCAACTGTGTTGGATATGATGTGTGGTACTTGGGGAAGAGACTGCACTCCTGAACGCTGGTTAAATTTTATGGGATCTACTCCAGCTGATGATGGTTTTTCTCCATTTGAGATAGACTATCAATTGTCAACAGAAACTCATTTAGTGATTGATGGAGAGCACTTTTACCCAATGAATGAAAATACTACTTCGTAAGTAAAATTTCTTTTGAAATTTTATGTAATTGTAGATTTATTCTGTAAATAAGTAATATGGCTTTCTATTTCTCTCTCAAATGCTAAATCTCTCGAAAGCACGACTTAGGATATATATTACATTTATATATAGTATTGTTCTAAATGGGTATTTTGACACAAAAATTGGACATCTGAAATAACATACCATTTTTTTTCCACATTTCGATTCTACAACTCAAATTATGCCAAAGTGCCAAGTTTTATGAAAATCGCACAAGTAGTTTTTAAAAAATTAGTTCTCAAAATTTTAGCCCCTCCATGTTAATTGAATTTGGTACATATTTATTAAAATATTTTTTTTAGTTAAACTTACTTGATCCTTCCTTTCACATTTCGAAATTTAGGTTCAATCCAAATAAAATTCACCCATTTTTTATGATTTATTTTAAAATTTTGTATTTTAAAAATAATTTTTACATTTTTCAAAAATAAATTGAATTATAATCTATAAAATTTTTACCATCATCCTAAAGTAGACATATTTGGTAGTGGAATTTTAAATCATGAATAAAATGAAATTTTTTTTGGGGGGGGGTCAAAATTGTACTCTTTTAGGTACCTGGAATGATTTTGAATTCATGCACTATCGTAGAATGGTCTTGTAAATTTTAAAAGATTTTGGTGATCCTCCGTTGAACATTTTCTGAATTTTAATTAAAAAATCTCAAGATTGATGTGTGTGAATGTGTTTGAATAACTTGTATAATGCCTTAATTTAAATTGAGTAATGCATTAATTTAAATCGAGATAGTTTTGTTGAATTTACCCTGCCCCTTTCTTTCCCAGAACTGTGTTTTTAAATCCTGTGTCATTTGTGTAAATGCATTTGTAAAAATTGCATAACATTTTAAATACGTAAGTACATCTGATATATTTCAGCTGTTCTGAAAGCCCATTTCCAGGCGCAGAAGCTTGTACATGTTTGGATTGTGAATCAGCATGCAAATTAAATATAGCGTCACCTCCACCTCTGCCTGAAGAAGAAGAATTGTGGACTATAATGAACCATGATGGAATATCAGTCTTATGTGTTATAATTTTCTGCTTTGTTACTGCATTATTATTATTAGGGTTTATTTGCTTCAAAATGCAGTCAAGGAAATCTTTGCGTTGTAAGTTAATTTTGGTATTCCTAAAAAAGTGGGTTATATGCATAAAAAATGTTATAGGTTTTGATGAGATGTATTTTAACAAAAGTTGAAATTTATTGTTCATTCTGTTTAAAGTTCTGTGAATGTCAAAACAATTTTCCCCCAGTGTGTGAAAAATTTATGGTATTAAGCTTAATAATTTTTTGTCGATTCTTTCTTACTTTGTATATGTTCTTAAAAAACGTGCTATAAATAAGATTCCAAATGTGACTTTAGTTTGATTATAGCATTAACTGTTATGTATCAAAACTTGCTATCAAAACTTTGTATAACAAGTAAATTATTTTTTAACCTTTAAATTTCAATGAATAGTGTGTTTTGTATCTGGATTTAATATATTTCTCCACATTACAAATATATATAGCTAATCTTCCTCCTCCCGGGTCTTTTGTAGTGGAATTTTCTTCCATTAATATCTTGGGTTATTTCTTTATATTTTTTGCAAGTAATTTGTACCAAATGCTTAAATTTGTGATTTCGTAACAAATATTGCAATGTTGTGATAGTGATCAATATTTAAGGTGTAGAAATTTTTATTACTAGACATTTCATGGTAGAACAGTAGTATTATCTTTTAACTTTTTTAATTCAAAATTTAATGTCATTTCAATTCCATTGGTGTATATGGTGGAAAGGTTTCATAAGCTTTGAAAACTGCCTCTGTAAGACAGCACAATTTTATTTTTTTTTACCGTCTGGAAAAATTTTGAAAGTGTGTGCAACAAATTTGTAGATAAACCTTGCAGTTTGTGCCAGGGAGAGTTTATAAAAAGTAGGCTCCAAATCTGTTGATCTCTTCAGATGTAAGGGCTTTATTGAATGATCCAGGATAAATATATATAATAGATGAATGGATGTAATTCCAATTCTTGAGTCTATTAGGAATTTTCATTTTGTCAGTGTATTTCTTCTCTTTGGAAAATAGCCTTCGTATGCTTTGCCATGTTCAATTAAGCATTTTGTCAGGGCATTATTTTCATTGCATTTGATAAAACTTGTCCTTTTTAAATGGATATTTATTTACTTCAATGTGAAAGTGCTTATCAGTGAATGTGAAAGTGCTTATTAGTTAGTGTTATTTACTTCAATCTGCTAGTGTGGTAAAAGTCCCAGGAATGGAAGCTGCCTACTGACTTTTTTTTTTATTTCAAATGCTATATTCATCAATGCCACCATAATTTTCAGTGATGTTGAGCATATATTAATCTGATGGTGAAATTATTATTTTCATGAACTGGTTGTATGTTTAGAGTTTATGTAACACATAATTTGATTTAAAAATTGACAGAACACAATTAAATTAGTTGTGCATTAGTAATATTGATGGTTGTAGCCCGATTTTAAGTTATCTGTTAATGCTAACCTTTATTTTTGCTTGCAATGTATTATGAAAGTACTCATTCCCTCCCTTTGAATGTTAAGTATTTGTGCTATGGAAATAAAAACAGTCGTTAGTTTATCTTCATGGAAGCTAGGATGCTCTAATCTTGCAAGATTTCTTGTATCAGCATTTATCACCATTTCAGATCCCACTAAGGTATAGTGATAGAATGGCTTTGTAGACTTTAAGATATGAGTATCAAATCAGTTGTTATATACTTTCAGTGGTGTATAAATCTCATCTGTTATTAAAATGATTCCATACAGTTTTAGCTTCAACTTTAGGTCATGCTTGTAAGTTTTTAAACATTGCTGCTAGCTCAGCATATTAAACCAAGTACTTGAAGTATAGTGTTGAAAAAACTAATAAAAAAGAAATACTTCTGGGGCTTGGAACCCCTTTCCCACTTTATTGATTCACATTTCGATTAAAAATTAATGTGTTCTGTTATTATCTGAACCCATTTTATTGATTCATTTTCAATTAATAATTAATATCTGGTTGTAACAAAAGTTTTCTGCCAAAAAGTGTTCTTAATAAAGTTAGAAAATAAAACACAAAAGCAATACCTATAGTGTAGTTAGTAATCACCACCCAAATTTATGATTTTCTGCCAACATTTTGGTAGTTTTTCAAAGCCTTCACCCACAGAAACAGGCCAAAAACTGATCAACATTGTTTTGGATGTCTTGTGCAGAATGAAAGATAGCACAAACAAATTGTAGTTGCATGTGTGAGAAAAAGGTAGGAGCAATGTCGGCTATATGGTGGGAGTGGTAAAAGATCCCATTTGAGTCTGGCTGGTGAATGCAGACACATGTCATCTTGCATTATCTTGATGGAAAATTACCTTTTTGCCTCGAAATTCAGTTCAGCGGTTTTTCTTGATAGCAGCATCAATGTGGACTAGCAGTCTCGTAGTACACCTTACCGTTGAGGGTTTTACTTTTTCCAGATACTCTTTGTGGATAATATCACGGCAATCCCATCAGATACTAAGTATGATCTTTTTGTTAATTGTGCTTCGACGCTGCTGACGGGGTCACTGGACACAGATCGAACCCTTTTTCAGCCTGTGTTATTGAAGTAAATCCACTTTTCATCACAAGTAATGATCCGGTGCAGAATTTTGTTCTTACGTTGATATTCAAACAGCAGGCTTGAACACGTCTGCCTTTATCTGCCTGTGTTATCTCATTCGGCACCTATCGTTTGTACTCGTACATCAAGTTAATGCGATGCATAGCACAGCTAATTGACATGTTGCTAATGTCTAACTCCTTAGCAAGCTTTTGAGTGGTTGCATGCTGACTTCTTCCACAAGTTCACAGGCAGGCCTCATCAACATCAGTAGGCTGCCCAGAGCTTCTTGAATGTCATAGTTTTCGCTTTTTGAACTTTCAGTACCAAACCTTCACAGTGTCATATGCTACAACATTAGTACCTAAAGCTGTACATATGATTTAGTGACATTTTGTAGCGTCTTTCAACAGAACTGGAGGTAAGTGATGGTTCTAATCTGGTAGTGTTCTAGTTCCATTTCAGGTAACTTGTACTTAATGATAAATATATTTTTTTACAAATTTCACAACACACTGTTCTAAAGCAAGTCTATTTCTTTCAAATGCCAAAAAATCATTTGACAAAATATGATTAAATACACCAGTATGAACCGTTTGCACAGATGATTTTTGTGTTTGCGGGAAACTTTTGTTAAAACCCAGTACAATCTGTAAATGTTATTTTAAATTTATTTGAAACTTTGTGTAAGAAAGTTATAAAATCTTAATGGTTATCAAAGATATAAGTAGTTGAAAGAAATTTGCTAAACTTTTTCTGAAATTTTTATTGTTAAAATTAAGTGGCAAGTTAAATTAGGCTTATTTTGGTTGTCATCATATGCTCTAAACTTGGACTTTAATTTGAAACTGTGCGAAGAAATTAAATATTTAGAGAATCAGGGATAGTTAATTTTATGTATAAATGTAGTTATAGGCATTCAAATGTGTGTTTGTTTGTTCAAGTAATATTACTGTAAAGAAATAAAAACTATTTTTTAGAAATTAAATTTCAAGTATTTTAAAATGAGGCATAAGAATTTACAGTGGTTACTCATATCAGTTATATATCTGTTAAAAATGTGTTTTTAATGATTTGTCAATAGTGACCTGCAGTGCTCAATACACAGTGCTGTTTCAAATTTCATGACATTTCATTGGTTCTTTTATAATTCATTAATTTTTCTTTGCATCTTATTAATTTTGCTTCTTTTGTAATAGCTTGCAACCTGAATGATACTCCTTTGTAAATATGGGCTGTGGACATATTTTGCTTTCCGTAGACTGAATGTGTTTTTTGTAATTTTTATTTCTGTTCTATTTTTCTGTACTTGATATCCCAGAAGGAATAGTTCAAGGCTATTCCTATATTTCTTTTTTAATTTCTGCCTGTTTAAGTTTTTGTTGCTACAATTAGTTTTTCAGTGTATGGGCTCTTAATGTGCTTAAATTTCTTGTTTAACTTGTTTATTTGTGTTATATCTCCTGCCAAATCAACTGCTCAATCAGTCGTTTTATTTTTCTTTATGTGAATGCTTCTTCCTTCTTCTCAATGCTATTGCTTCCCCCCCCTTTTCCAAGTATTTGGTTTTCATTATCAAAATGGCAAAGAATATTTAAAATGCTTTGTAAACTCTAGATATTTTAAATTGGAAAGTTATTTCATAAAATATCTGTATATGCTCTTCCTGCTATTAGGCCGAGGAAGCAGTGTGTATTAAACACTGCAGAAAAGTTATCAGTTCTCAAAGCACTATTGTAACTAGAATTACCCCTAGCAGGTGATACTGAAGTTAAGATGGAGAGAAAAGGATCATCTCATCGACCTTTGATACTTTTGAAATGTTCACCCTCTGCCTCAGGGGTGGACTTGGGCTCACTAGAGGAAGTGGAGCCCCTGCGTTCAAAACGGTCAAGTACGTCTTGCTAACCTTGCTGCTGTAATGCTGTAACTTCTTTTGTGCCAACTAATGCTCTCCATCTTTTTTTGAGTGATTATAAAGTGGTTAACCTGCATATACATGTCTAGATTTCATTGAAGTGTAGAAACTAAAAGAAACCTGCATGTCATTACTAATGCTCAACCCGAGAGGCACACTTACTTTGAGTGCTTATTTTAAATTTAGCAGAGACTAGGAAAAAAAAAATTTTTTTTCTATTAAATTACTAACAAATGAGTAGATGAAGAGCATTTGTTCAGCACTAATAATTTTCTATAATTTTCATTTAGATGCAGAACTAGTATACTACTTTTTATCACTCTTAACTGGTTGTGGCTTGGGCTGATGCTGCTTACCTAGAGAAATGAAAATTCTTTACTTTCCCATTCTCTACATTCAAAATTCAGCTTTAAATTCCATTTATTTATTTATTTATTTATTTTTAATTACAGAGTGGCATGTGAGGCTAGTGAATTTTACTACAGAATTTCAGAATTACAAAGTGATCATGAGCTTTCCCCTTTCCCATTTGGTTTCTTTTCATTTTCCTGTAACCATGTTAGGTTGCCTTCATTTAATTTGAATGCTGCTGTTAAGTTTATGATCACACACAAATTGCTAACACTTAATTTCATTCGCCCTTTGTATATAATCTGATACTCATTTACAATGTTCCTTTAATCATCTAGTGAGCCTACCAGTTTTTGATTTGCTATACTTAACAGTGCAGGGTGATTATGATTTACTAGATTTTCAAAACATTGTATTTCCAAAAATATTATACATGACTAATGAATGATACACAAAAATAAACATTAAATATCCAAGTTTGTGTCCTAATTTTAAGATTTGCATTACTATATCATTGAGGAACCCGCATACTGCTTGATTGGAGAGGGTGCTGAAGAAGATTTAATGCTGTTTCAATGATTTTCATGCTGTTTCCAGATTTAATGCTGACCTCTGGGATCTGTAGACCTATCAGTTTCTGAAATTCCTTTCTTGAGAGGTATATTTAGACTCTTGTTCATGTGCTCCCACTGTTGAAAACGTTGAGCTCAAGAATTTCATAGTCATTACATTTGTAGACATTAGTAGTGCATATGTGAACAAACTCAAATTCTGAAGGCTATCGTGCAGCCAGAGAAAGCCACTTTGAAAATTCATGATCTTATGGTGGAAAAATACCCTTTTAAGTACGATGTTTTAAAACACAATCATTTATTATCATCCTATACTCTCATAGCAAAAACATACGGTAGACCAGATAATTACGAAAGTGTTATTTCAGATGATTGCAAAATTAATGATCTGATTAGATATGTAGCACTTTTATGTGTAAAGGCATTTATTTTAAGGTATATAAGGGTAATTTGGTAAAGGATTGTTTTAAGTGATCAAAAAATTGTTCTGCTAGCTTTGATCAGTTTAGAATTATAGCCTTTTTTTTTTTTTTCCCAGAACTGTATGTATGTCAGTGTTTCAGTTATCTAAAAAATTAATGTGTTTGAAATCAATTGCTGCTTTATTGTGTTATATTTTCAGTTATTCCTGGCCAGCCTCTTGAAAAGTCTGCAAATTTGACCACTGCTGATTCAAAAAAAGTTGAAGATACAGCACACCAGTTACCAGACACAGAAATTATATCTGACATATCTTTTCTTCAGAAATTGGGTGCGACAATTGAAAGACATTTAGAAGATAATTTTTGCCGCTGGGGAACATTCGTAGCTGAGCACCCTGTGCCAATTATGGCTTTATCTCTGATTATGAGCTTTGCACTGGCATCTGGTTTACTGTTCCGCTTTTCCGTAACAACTGATCCAGTGGATTTATGGGTATCAAAAAGCAGCCAAGCTCGTCAAGATATGGAATACTTCAACAGGCATTTTGAGTAAGTTTTTCTTTTTTTTCTTTTTTTCTTGTCATCATTTTGCAGTTTTTCAAAGAAGCGAAGTTATCAATTTACATTTTTTCAAGTAGTTAACACTGCCTATTCCTATGGCCACAAAATGCCTTAGAAGTGCTTAATATCTATCCTTTTATGTGTACTATTAATAAATCTATGTACTAAGTTTTTTGGTATTTCATGCGTTTTAATAAACTGTACACATAATGCATTTTATCCAAACAGTGTACAATATTAATGTCGAGAATTCGTAGTCATAAAAATCATGAAATTATTGCATTAATGGGTTAATAATTGGCTTATATGCCAGCAACTGCATGGCCCACCAGCGGCCGAGCGGTAACGTCGCTGAACACTGGTAGTTCGGTCCGAGGTTGAAATCCCGTGACCGGGCTGGGTGCATGGGTGTTTTTTGTGATTTTCCCCCTTGTGTAACGTGTATACGAGCCAGTTTCCCTTAGAAAGTCCTCCACGAAGGCATCCCTCCTTTAAGGCAGATAGCCCTTGAGTGCTTTGCTGTAATCTAATAAACCAAACCAGCAAATGCACTTAAGCAAACTTTTAAGAAACTTTTGTCTACTATGCCATCAACAGTAGTTAAGTAAACTTGAAGAAACTGTTTCAAGTATAAATTTTTATTGCATATCATAAAAATCAGATTTTATATGTATTTGTGTGAAAATTGCACTGTTATCCATACTGAAACCTGCATGCTATTTGTGCAATAAAAGACAGAAAATTTGTCTGCTTGGAATCTAGCTATCTGGATTTTAAAGTTTTGTAAATTTTCAAGTCATTACATTTATACTAAAAATGGAAGAATAAAGATAAAAAGCACATGAAAACTATTAATTTTTTTGTTCTTTTTGTCGAGAAATATTTTATACAGAAAGAAATAATAAAGCATAAAAAATTATATTTAAAATTTTTCAAACATCTCTTTAATTTTTTTTAAAATTTTGTCTGGATTTTTGTAAAAATTCTAGAATGTACTAGAGATTACATAAAATATTTTCTGATCAGCCGTGTTGGATTTTTGGTCTTAATTATTTCCCCTCTGATTCACAGGAAAATCATGAATTAATTTACTACATGTCCATTCTGATATCACCCTTAAAAAGTTCTACTTCTAGTTCTAGTCTTAAAGAAAAATATATATAGTACTTTTTGATGAATTGCCAAGTATAAGTGCTAGACGATGAGGGTGCAAAATGTAGCGTCAAGTATTGATGACAGCTTAATGATGTATTTAAGATGACTCCCTGCTAAAAAACATGGTGGTTATTTGAACAAAATCTTTCACTACAGATCATTCCTTTTCTTGAAAGAATTTAATGGCAGACAATTCTTCATTGAGCAACTGACTGATCATAAAACTTGCCTTAGTTTGTCAAAATGTAGTATGAAAATATCTGTGAATATTCAGTTTACAATGTTTGGCATAATTTTGGGTATAGAATTACTATTTTTGGTGTGCTTCCATGCATTTTGTCTACTGGTCCCTGAATAAAAAATTGTGAAGCTTCTAATTATTGCAGTTCTGCTAGATTGAAACAGCAAAGTTAAACTGCAGTTAGTTGCAAGTTTAGCGACTTCAATTAGATTAGATTAATGTTAGTTATAAAATTAGCTACCAATAAAATATGATAGCTTGCTTCAGTTCTGAATGAGGAAATCTCTTGCCAGAAATTGAGATCAACAAATTTATCTTTGTTTCTCTGTTCACATGCTTTTATTGATAGGGAATTTTTCTAAACCTCGTGATTTTTTGGTTAAGTATTTGTAGATAGGTATTGTGTCTCACAGTGTGTTCATAAAAATCATTTCACGAAAAAGTTGTGTGTGCTTGGCTGTTTATGTATATTTAAAATATGTGTGTTTGTTTATGCATATTTAATTTTTTTTTTTAAATTTGTATTCAAAATGTATGTATATTTTATTTCCTAGGCCCTTTTACCGAGTGGAGCAAATGATAGTTACTCCTAAAAATAGAAGCTCATTTGTCCATAGTATCAAAGAAAAAAATGGCATGAATACATATACTTGGGGTCCTGTTTTTCGAAGAGATTTCTTATTAGAGGTTTTTAAAATTTCTCTTGTTTTTGAAGTATATGCTACTTAATATAAATTAAGTATTTTGATGTTTATTTAAATCTGAAAATATGAATATAATTTTAAAAAATGTGTTTCAGGTGTTGGACTTGCAAATGGCTTCAGAAAGGTTAGTGGCAAAAAATGGAAACAAAACAGTCACTTTATCAGATATTTGTGTGTCTCCTCTTGCACCAATCAATAATAATTGTGCTATCCAAAGCATATTTGGATACTACCAGAATCAAAAGCGTCTTTTGGAAGATCCAAAATTTGACTATCTTGCCCACTTCAAAGAATGTGCTGGGTTAGTTTTTTTAAAAAAGTTTTTATCATTTATGCTCACATTACTCTTTTTAATCCGTAATTCTGTTAGACTTTTGAGGAATTTATTTTAAATTTTTTAGCTCCATGGCTGAAATGAAATGTTTTGCACCTTATGGCGGTCCTCTACAGTCAACTGAAGTGGCTTTGGGAGGCTTCAAAAACTCAGATTATCATACTGCGACTGCATTGATAATAACAATACCTGTTGTTAATCACTATGATCAAGAGCTGAATAGAGATGCTTTAGAATGGGAAAAAGTGTAAGTAAAACAATTGAAATCTGAATTTCCTAAGTCCTAACGGCACAGGCCTCTAAAAAATTACTAAATCTGAAAAGCATCAGTGTTTCTGAAAATGCAGTTAATATTTACATACCAACAGTCATGTTCTCCAAAGCAACCTCTATGCAGAAAACTAAAATAGTCTGAAACCATGGAATGTTTCCTTAAGGGAGGTTTCACTGTAATTCTACATATATAATATTCAATTCCTGTAAATTGGCTTTGTTTGTAAATATAGCCTTTCAAATTTAAAACTTCAGTTTCATCAGCTTTCTTCATTTGACTGTTTTTCTGTGCTTTTATAGTATTTGCAGAAACCTAATTTTATCAGCCATTTTGAGACATCAAATTCCTGTTACAAACTTTCCCTCTTAGTAGACTGTATACATATTAGTGATTTATGTAACTTTATTCAATATATCACCTGAAATAATTTATTAAAAGCTGGTTAGCATAGCAAGCAAATGTTGGGCAAAATTCTTTTTCATTTTCAGAAACTTTTAAGAGATGAAAGAAAAAACTAGAAAGATATTCAAAACTTGTGATTAAAACTAAAGTTTATTGCCAAAAAATGAGTGCTACATATTTCAGAGTTTACTTGTAATCCCCCAAAAACCTAACTTTTACTCTGATTTCATATTTTAATTTTTCTTAGTTGTAAAAAGCTCAGTATTTATTTGTTTGCTGTGTTAAATATTTCTTTCGATGCCAGTTGAGTAATTTGCTTTGATTTTTTATGTTAATTCTTTTTCTCTGATTCTGTGGATAGACTTAATTCCTTGTTCAATTACAAAGTTAATTAAGTTTTGTTCTCAACAACCTCTCATTATCGGTATATATACATGTATGCTAACTTATCTACTTTCGATATATACATTTATTCAAGCTATATATACATAGCACCCATTATTATTATAATTTAATTTGATTACTTGTCCAAGGATATTTTTCAACATGGATTTACCCATCAGTCAATCAAAATTGAGATGCTATATACTCATACTGTGCCAAATTGATACTGAAGCACAATGTGACAAAATGATACTGACTTTTCTTTGCTGAGAACTGAATTTATATTATTCTTCTTTTCTGCTATTTAGTTTTGGTGTATTGTTCCAATGCTTTAATTGTATATTACAATTTTTAATTTTTACTGTAATGGTAAGATAATCTTTATTTCCTGGCATTATTTTTAAAAATAATTTTTTATTATATTCTGAAGGCAAGGCTAATTATGGAATAAAAATGAATAAAATTATCTAGCATAGGCAAATGCAAATTAAAGAAAGAGAAATAAATAAAGCAAAAGTCTTCTGGCAAAGATGCCCACATTAACAAAATTCTTCTTGCACAGCATCAGCAACATAAATAAGGAAAAGAAAGTCAACAGCAGCATAATAATTCCCAGCAATCAAATGAGAAAGAAAAAGAAGATGCACATCAACAGGAGCAAGAACAACACATAGCCATGCCTCTTTATTATGTGCTTCTGGCCTTTTTAGATTTATGGCCAGAAGAACATCAGGAAAGAGAACATTTAAGTGAAGATGATGCTGATAATATGTTGAGGGTTAATTATCATGATCCTGGGCTTCATGAAGAAAATTAAATGATTGAAAAATTAAAGATATAATCCGTTAAACATATCTAACACAGATGTAGATATCCAGAAGCTGATTTACACCATCTAAAGTAGTCAACAAATTGCAGAGCAGCTATGTTTAGAAAAGGATATTTTATAGACATTTACAAAATAGAAAACAGGAAAACAAAACTTCTTTAGGAAAAATTTATTGCACCTTGTAAAGTATTTGGTAGTGAAAGTAATACATTTGGTACAGGGCACAGGGATTGGAAACACTGTGAAAAAATTTAGAAGTATGAAAATTTCACCCTACATAAAGTTAACATTCATAGACTTGTTAACCAAACAACCAAAAATGCACATATTTAAAAAATTATCCATTCATAACAATGGCAGAAAATATTTATTACTGGGAAAATATTTGAAAACGGATTGTTGAAGTAACCAAGTTTTTAAGGGACTTGGCCTTTAAGGGAGACAACCAGATTATTGTTGATAAGCACAACAGGAAACAATAATCTGGTTTTTAGGATATGTAAAACTTTTATCAAAATTTGACTGGATCTTTCAACAATATATTGCAAGTAAAAGTACTCAGTATCTCTTATTTATGAGTAAATATTTGTGATGAATTCGTCAAAGTATTGGGTAGCAATGTAGCAATGTCTTTTTATCTCGGAATTAAAAAGAGTCAAAGTATTAGTCCATTGTAGAAGATTCAGAGCCCAATATTTCCCATATTTATTAATTAAACTATTGTGGTTAGAATAAGTCGATAAAAATGGTACCCTTGTTGGAAGGCCTTTAATTGTTTTAGAAAATACTGCCCATAGAAAAGGAAGATTGTATTTAAAAATTATTATCCGATTTAGATTGTAATTTGCAAGACTGTAGAGTACAATTTTATGATAATGCCATGCAAGACTGTAGAATACAATCTTATGATAATGCCTTAATATGCCGGGTATATACAGTGGCCTTTAAGCATGAATTAAGCCTGAAAACAGTCTTGCTATTTATGTGACTGCATAACATTGTTTAAATTTAACTGGAGAATCAGTGGTGGAATGCAGCCTACAAAAACCAAATTATTTCCACAAAATTTATACCATTTCCTTGCCAAATTCAACATTAAGATGGAAATTTTTGAAAGATATGTAGGCACCAAAAAATTAAGCTACACTCATTGGCCAGCAAGAAATTATTCAGTGAAAGCTGTGATTTCTGGTTATAAAAATTTTAAAGATGCTTTGAGTAAAATTTATGAAGTCAATTTTAAAACTGTGCCACAAAAGTTGCAGCTCAGGGGTTTGTTAAATGAGTTGAACTCTCTGGAAACTGCCGTTACGGTAGCAGTTTGGAGCAAAATATTAGAAATTGTAAATAACTAAAAAATTATTTCAAACAGTAGATGCTGCAATTGAAAGCATTAGCAGATTATACAGTATTTTAGAAAAAAAATTACTGTTGAAATGCAACGCAAAATCATTCAACATAAAAATCTTAAGGTACAAAATTATCCGTATGCAATGAATATCAGCAATTATATGGGGGGAAGGGATGTAATACAATGAACATATGGCAGAAGCCGTTGAATTTGATGCCAATAGCAAATTTTGCATAAATTCATATGCTGTCAGTGATAAACTTCTAGCAGAAGTGCATAAAAATAAATAAATAAATTAATTAATTAATGAACAATTAAAAAGAATGCTAAAAAGTTATGTAAACATATATGGAGCATTTAGAAAATGGTTTTATTGAAGAATGCCTTCATTTTAACATATATATTTATTTGAAAATAAAGAATATATATCTGCTGTGGAGGAAGTTAGTTTAAGGGCAATATTCGACTTTAAAATTGAGTCTACATATCTTAACCTGGCCATTGATGCTTTGTGAGTGACTTTGGCTTTCATTAGCAAAATAAACCTTCTCTCGCCAGATTCTGAAAGAGTCTTGTTTAGGGCCTGACTTGGAAAATCAATAGTTAATATTTATGATGAGGGAACCAATGATGGAGGAGGATTTGAGGCTCTTTCACTGCTGAGAACTGCAAACTCATTAAACATTGCTAAGGTTGGGCTGAGTTTCCCAGCAATGATTTTTGCTTACTGAATTTTTTTGTGATAGCTCATGAACCTGGGTTGTCTGCACTGTTGTTGTTACTTTCATGTTACTAATTACATGATCTGCATAAGTCATACCATTTATCACAAAGCCTGAGCACTGCTTAGGATAAGTTGGGCAACCTTTGAAACTTGAAGTATGAGATTTCCACAGTTGGCACATCGGGGACAGTTGGCACATTTTTGGGTGTATTGCATGATTTCAATTCATGGTCATGTCCACATTCACACAGTGTGTTTCATGTCTACAGAGATAAGTAGAATGATAAGTACAGCTGTAAGACTAAGCCTGAGCATGAAAGAATTCTTGACACTGAAGTACTGTGACCACCTCTTCAGCCTTTGTATGATTCACCGAGTTGCATTAGATAATGCAGGTTGTAAGTATAATGCATCTTGAGTGCTGTGTTCTGGGGTCCAATATTTACATCAGTTTTTTCCAGGTGTAATCAGTCTTTGAGGGGTTGGATTTTAGCACTTCTTCTGGTATATTGGCACACTCCGTTATTTGAATCATCCATAGCTTGGCTGCTTGTTCATCGCTGGGCTGGAGCTGGGACCGCCTCCTTTACAGACTGGGATTGAGGGATTCTTTCATGCAGATTAGATGGCTTATTGATACCCACAGAAATATCATAGGATCAGTTGCATTTTGTTAGGCTTATTGAAGTTTTTATTTTTTTATTCAGTCTCTTATTCTTTGGCAGGACTTTCAAAAAAGGAGAGGGATTTTCATCTGACTAGACAGTATCATCACTCTCATCTGATAAACTTGCAGTCCTGTTATTCTGCAAATTGTCAGCTGTAGTAGAACTGTGAGGTTGTTTACTTCACGTTTCTTAAATATCTATATCATTACTTTATTTAGTCTGCCTTGCGCACCAAGCCTGTGGAACTGTTTCCATCTTTGCTTGAGTTAATGAAACATCGGGGAAATCTGGATTCCATTCATGCAAGTGTGGCGAATCATTAGCCAGAGTCCATAAAATTTGATGTAAAAATGCAGTGACTTCTTGTTGAGCCCATGCTGTTTGATGGTGTTGATGCACAGTTGATTGACAGGGGCAGAATTTGTGCAAAAGCTAAAAAAATTATTCAAAAATATGCTCAGTATATGCTAGGCACAGTATGCCTTACAACAAACTGTGCACACACCTGATCAGTATAATCTTAATGTGGCAACACAAATGTGTATTTTTTTAAGGTACTGCTACTACAAATTGTAGTTGTGAAATATTAATTTTCAGCACTGAAAAGTATTATTAAAAATTATTTAGTCTTCGGAATAGAGCAAATAAATTATTTGATTATTTTATTTGTAGAGAGTTATTTATTAATAACTTAAATACATGTGATATTATTAACCATTTTAACAAAGAAAAAGCTAAGGGGGGGAAATATATTATTTTTATAGTTTATGTTCTTGTAGGTTCCTCTCCCACCATTTTGTATGAATGTGTTTTTATTTTGTGTAATGGTAATAAAATGACTCTTTCTAGTCTCGAAACTTTTATATAGCTTTGCCAGTCACCCTGCTCCCACTACCCTCCCATGTATTTTGTTATGAAGAGGATCACATTATGAGTACAATTTACAAAATCTATTTTTGCATAATTTTTGCAAAATATATTTGCACTGTTGAATTTCTCTTCATCAACACTTTACAGCTGAAGTCTATAATCATTGCCAAGCGTCATATCAACATAAAACGTTACCGTACTTTTTGGTATCTAATTACTGATATTTAAAAATATTATGCAATAAATTAATTATATTTAAAATATTATGCAATAAGTCATTTATCAAGCTGCAATGTGTTGAGATAGTCATTGTGATGAAAGTAAAATATAGTAATGATTTGCCATGTTGCCGTCAGTGCTGAAGTGAAATTAAGAATCAAGCCTCTCCACATTTTATTATAAAAAAAAGTCAAATGTGCAAATGTTAAAGCATTGTATTTTATAATGTGATGAAAATAAGTATGAGTAATTTTAAAACTTCACAGCAATTTGCTAAGTTTTACAAAGTAAATTGCTTGTAAGAAGGGACATCAAATTAATATTTTTTCTTTGCATTAATTTTTTTCTAATATCTATGGAAAAAGAGATTTTTGAAAATTAACAATTTAAAATCTTAATCTTTCTGTGTAAGTGATACTGACTGTTGATTTGTATGTTTGAGCAATGTAAAATGCTGTAACATATCTAATGAAAGACTTCTCTTAAATGGCAACTTATTGTTTCTCATTAAAGTTATGAAAACTTTTTAGCTATAATCATATCCTTGATATCTCAGATTAAAACTTTAGAATCATTCTAAAGTTATAAGTAATTGAAGTTTTTTTTAATCATAATTGGAAGTTTTTATTGTAATTGCAACCCACATGTGATATACTGTTTTTACTATATACTTAAACCACGTAATTTTTTGTAACAAAGCTTCTTATACCAAGTGTAACACAATAAAAGAAAATTGCAAATAAAGAGGAGCAACACTTATAATTCTAAACATAGCTGTCATATATGTCTGTAAATATGTTTATTAAATTATTCTTGTTCCCTCTAATAATTTTTCTGTTGGATAGTACAGAAATAGAGTTGTTATTGCATATTGCTTGTTTTTCCATCTACTTCTAAAAATTTAGTTGCCATTTTTTTTTGTTTTATTGCATATCTTCCAGATTTATAGAATTCCTGAAGAATTACAGTTCAGAAAATATAACGGTGGCGTTTAAAGCAGAGGTAGGATTTCATACGCTTTATACATACTTTGAGTATTCTGTGAGATCATATAGTGATTTTTTTATTTCTGTATTTTCAAGCGTTCAGTGGAAGATGAATTGGAACGTGGAAGTCATTCAGATATTGTCACTGTAGCTATAAGTTATTTGATCATGTTTGTGTATATTGCTGTTGCCTTGGGAGAAGTGAATACATGTAAAAGCATGCTAGTGAGTAAAATTTGATATTTTAAAATATATTAAAATTGTTTTATGCGAAAAAAGTTTTTTTAAAGTATATTAATGAGTAAAATTTTATTATTAAGCATAGTTTTCTTTTATGAATATTGTAAAGATTACTGAAATGTAACTTACTTTTTCTTTGTTTTAAAATTTATTTTCTTTTTACTTCATGCCATCTCTTCTAGTGCATAACAGTGCTATGGCCGTAGTCTCTTCTGCTTTATTAATTGAACGAGCTGTAATAAATATATGTTTTGCTGTACTGATTCACTGTATAATCATATTCATGTTGAACATATTTCCATCTTCCTTTTTTGTGTTTGCATGATGCTTTTCCTATAATAATATTTCATTAGGAATGTCATTTAAACTTGATTTGTTTAAAATATAATAATGTTTAAAATATGATAGTTTTTAATATATATATATGTCTCTTGTTTTTATTTCATATTTCATAGATTGTTTTATATTTTGTCATTAAAACTTATTTCATAAGTAATCAAAGTAAATATACCTTTTTCATCCTAGGTTGATTCAAAGATTTCACTTGGTTTTGCGGGTGTATTCATTGTTATAGTTTCTGTACTTTCATCTCTCGGAATCTTTTGCTTTGCTGGTGTTCCAGCTACTTTGATTATTATTGAAGTGATACCTTTCCTAGTTCTTGCTGTAGGAGTGGATAATATCTTCATTCTTGTTCAAGCCTTTCAGGTAAATGTAATCTTTGATATTTTGAAATTCAGTCCTCTAAATTTTACCCTTCTTGCAGTTCCATGTTGTTATGCTCTTATGGGTTTGTTGAGATTTCCTTAGGAACTACACCAGATGAGCAAATAGAATTTGGCATTTTATAGAAATACGGATGTATAACTAGGTAAACAGGTATGAATAACTCAGAAAAAGAAAAATATAGATAAGTCAAATTCTCCTTAACTCATGAATAATATTGTAAGTCGCCAAAATAACTCACAGAGCAAAATCTAAAGCAACCAATGAACAGAAACTCGATACAGTTATACAATTCTAAACTGTTTCACTGGCTGACTCACAGCTCTAATGTGGCTGTATTTAAGGGATTGGACAAAAATTTCGAAAATATTTGAAGAAAAAAAAATGCCACTAGAGCTTCAAAAATGCATTTTCTGGAAACTTTCACAATAGCTCTGTGTTGCCAAGAAATCGCCAAATGGAAGAGTTTATATGCACAATTGAAACATCATTTAATTGAGAATTACAAGATCTTACGTCATAATACATGGAAAAATGCTTACAAACAGAATAACTGGCCATACTAATCTACTGAACAAAATTATTACATAAAATGTACTGAATAAGTCTGTACAATACATTATATTGCATGGTTAAGTAAATGTGAGGAAAATAAATATTTCATGTTATTCTTTTCATTATTTATCACAATATCGCTTAAAAATAACAGGACCTAAAGAAGTAGTTTTCCTTTTAATTCTGGGCTATCTTTCTAAATACAAATTTTTTATTTTACATATCGCACATTTCTTTTATAGTGCTGTAAAAGTTAATTTTTATGCCTAATTCACTTTTTCTAGTATTGTGAGTTTTACTGTATTTTTTCCCTTTAATTATTAAAATAATTGAAAGGATAAATGGAAATTTCATATATTTTGCTTCCAATTGTATGACATTGATATTTAATTCATAAAACATTGCTTTCTAGCGTGATGAAAGGCTGCCAGAAGAAAGTGTGAGTAAACAGATTGGCAGGGTTGTTGGACAAGTTGCCCCAAGCATGATGTTGTCAAGCCTTTCCATGTCTAGCTGTTTTTTCATTGGTAATATTCATTTCTTGCTTCTCATTATAAACAACCGATTTTGAGACTTCCGTTTTAAATATGCAGTTTTACTTTTCTTAATGAAGTACGATGTGGTATATTAAAGGAACAGTGGCTAGTTCAAATGCAGTTTTTAAGATTGACTAAAATGTAAAAGTAAGATGTATCCTGATTAAGTTATAACCAGTACATTTATTGTAAATTAGTTGGTATTTTTTTCCACAGTTTTATAACAGAAGATGTTTCATTTGTCTTACTAAATTTAATGTGTATGTAGGTTTTTATAATAAACTCTTTTTGAGAGGAGTTTGGGGCTGGCAATTTCTCTGTAAATGTAGTACATTAGAAGTCCAGAAATCTGCAAAGCTTGGGACCAGAGGTTGTGCAGATTTTAGGATTTTGCAGATTTCAGGACAGAAAAGGTAAATCATAATATTCAGACTAAGTGCAAAATAAATAAGGCGTATTAGATACATTTAATTAAATTATTATATACATTATTACAATAATTTGCATTAAATTATTATTACATATATAAGTTGATTATAATTATTCATTGTAATATATGCACACGCCTAGAATCGTTTGCTGATTTTGCCTCATGCAAAGATTTCCGGTTTCGATTTCCGGTGTTAGAATCAATTGTTGCTGTAAAATTTCAACAGCTTTTCTTATTTTTCCGTATATCATACACAAGTCTGTGTCGGCAGTTCCATAAGATTCTGCTATAAAACCGAGGAGTAGCACCTTAGCCTTCATCTTTTTTTCCAGAATTTTTCACTTTTTGCATTATTACCGTCCAATGCAACATGTTTTGCGTTTTTTCAATGCCTGCAAAAGCAGTAAAATTATGAGTGCATTTCTTATCTGTCATTATATTAAAAAGCACTGAAATTTAAAATATTCTTAATTTATCCACAAAATATCTGGATAAAAAAATGGCAGCACTAAACAATCTCGTGAAATAACAAAGCTCAGAAAATACAATGTGAATCGGAAACTTGAAAGAAGAGTTGAGTGAATCGCCTGCTATTTTATCTCGATGCAGATTGGAAGGAAAACAGCTTTTTTATCATGATGATAATTTGGTATTTCCGTTATGGTTCATTATTATTCGGTAATTATGCCATAATTATTCAATATTTTTTCTTCGATATTTCATACTCCATGTTGCAGTTCCAGAACCTTGAGAGGCAACGTGGATTTCAGGTCGATGGATTTTCGGTATTTGGCTGTATTGAGAGCTGAAATATGTTGAAATAGGAAAGAGAATCAGACATAAAAGAATGTTTTAATTGTCATTTAAAATCTTGGACATAGTTACACTATTTGTATGTTTACTGTGATGCCATCTATACAGATATCTCATTCTTTCTAAATACTCTCATTTTCAGTGCTATCACTGTTCAAAAAGTAGCTCATTGTAATGTCACATGAAACTGTTTTTTTATTACTTGCTGCTGAATGTATTAGGTTTGCAGTTGGGTATCCATACTTTCCAACAATTACATATGTTGATCTAGTTTGTCTTACCAGAATCTTCTAATTAGTTACCATAATTGTTGTTTTATTTGAATTAGGTTTCTTGATAAAATGTCTTGAACATGCTGTGTACATAACTAATATTTTATAGCAAATAGTGTGAGCTAGTATTTCAGTAATAACTACAAATTCTATGCTTTGTTACAAGAAAATGATTAATTTTACATGTGATAATACAGTTGATGCTCATTTTAATGACCACTCGTTATAATGATGCTTCCATTATAAATGCAGAAAGTTCCCAAATGGTGAGAGTGTGTTTAATTTAATTTTGTTATAATGAGCGTAATCTTAAGAGGATGGTTAGTGTGATTTAATAATATATGAAAATACTGCATTCTTAGTATAAAATTTGTGTATTTTAATTTGTTTGGTGTTAAACAAAAATATTTATAAGGACTATTCTTTTCAAGGTGCTCTAACTGATATGCCGGCTGTCAAGCTCTTTGCTTTGTATGCGGGTGTTGCTTTGTTGATAAATTTCTTTTTACAAATGACCTGCTTCTTGTGCCTCTTCACGCTAGATATAAAGAGACAAGAGGTAAGTAAACATTGTCTATCTTTTTAAGGTAGTAGCTGTAGAATGTTGTATTCTATTTTCATGCACTTTTTCTCATTTTTTAATATGTATCTAGCAGAGTTGTCCCTTCCTCACAAAAATGAATTGTTATGTGGGAGGGGGGATTTTTTGAAACAATGCATTGGCTAATGTAGGAAATGATAGTGTTATGAAACCTTGATTTCAGAATTTCTTTGGAACTATATTTTAAGATGTTTAAATGTGGGTAATGTAATAAAGGTGAAATATTTTTCATGCAGATAAAATATGGAGAAAGGCAGCTTTCAAAAAATGGTTTCATTCTTATAAGATTTTTTTTTTTTACATAATTTTCACCTTTTAGAAAAGTCATTTTCAAAAAGTCAATTCTGCCTGTTCATTGGGGGAAATAAAAAATCAATATTTTTTCACTATTTTGAAAAGTGGATGAGATATTTATGCAAGTTTATTTCATTTAAAGAATCCAATTTCTTTACAAATATTTCTCTTCAATGGTTTATTAGTAACATTTAGCCCCCTCCCTCTAAAAAGCAAAAGCTTGATGATGTTAGACTGCTTAAAATGGTCAAAAAGAAAAGGGCAGCAGTAAAATTAATCTTAGGCTAGTTTGAAAGGGTGAAGGAGAAAAACTTCAGAGATGTGTAATGTAAAAGTAGTGCTTCTTATCCGATTCTTTTTAAAAGGGTAGGTAGGTCTTTTCTTGCAGCAGAGCAGGTGTGATGGCCTTTGTTCGTAGCCAGTGTTATTCCCATTTAAATGTAAATGTATTTTTGAATAAATTATGCAAAAAATTCTGGACTTGTAGGAGTTTTAGCTGTGAATGGTTTGAGGTTTCTGGACTGAAACATTACTAATTAGCTAGATTTGTATATTTAGCTGCCTCTTTGTTTTATAACATTCCGTTCATATTTAAAGATTGAGTAAAGCCATTTAAACGGTTTAAAAAAATAGGGGCAAGAATTTATATTAGCAGGAAAAAAATTTTTATATACTTATGTAAGTTACTTTTACGGCATCAGAATTTTTATCAAATACAGGAAAAGGCAAAAAGCAGGACCTAATAACGTTTCTATGTAAAAAGCAAACTTGGTGGTGGAGAGTTAGAGGGAAATTTTTTTTATATTGTGTTGGAGAACATTCAAACAGCCTGGCATGATTCTATTTTAAGCTTGCTCTAGGACTTCTCATTTGTTTATCAGAATACTGCAATGCATGAAATGCAAAATATTTTGTGAAAAGATGAAAGGGCATACATTCTACAAAATTCAGTAATCTTGCATTCAGATATGCAGGGTGATTGTAAATTGTTTTTACAAATTAAGAGGGGATCATAGTTTTCATCCAGATGAGCAATAATTACCATAAAACATAGGGTCGCATTCCACTCTGAGAGGCAGAAAAGAGGAATATTAGAATTTTAACCTGAACTTACTACAGTGTTGGGAAAAAGTTGCACTATTAATTTAGTGAAAATCTCAGAGAGTGCACAAAATGGGATTAAAAAAAAAAAAAAAAAAACTTTGTGTTCGAGTGTTAATTCGAGCTCATACTTTGATGGCAAACACTCAAATTCACATCTTTGGTTGGCTAGGACTCAACCTCGCAAACGATTGCAACAAGTTAATTATCTAAATTATTAGAGGGAAAACTACCTTGGTATGGAAGTATCTGCTACCTTGATATGTAGAACTGCTATACTTCATATCAAGCTAGCAGTTGTTTTTCTCTTAGCCATCTTCTATCCTGTCTTCCTGGACTTACTCTACTGCACTCGTTCTACTTGAAGCACCCTTCTATGGGACACAAAGTTCTGATACCCGGAATTTCACCATGAGCTTTTTATGCTAATCTCGGCATGCAGCGGAAGTTGGAGTAAGTTGATAATATTCAGTTAGTTGGTAATATTCTTCTTAATTAATTCTTCAGTGCTGCGTTATTCTTGCCAGTAATGCTGGTTTTGCCGATACATGTTTGAGCCAACTTGCGCTTTAATCATTTTTGCGTAGCCTTTGGCAAACTTAGTTTTAGTTTGTTTCAATTAATTTTGAGTTGCGCTATAAATAGTGGCTGGTTTATAAGATATTTCTCCCTCCTTCTTAGCGAGCCTTCATGGTGTAGTGGTCTGCACGCTGGGCTTAATTGAGAAATCCGTGGTTCAATTCCTGATGAAGGCGTTGCATATTTTTCATCTTTCTACATGAGCACAAGAAGTGGCATCAGTTAAATTTTGAGCTCTGAATAAAAGGAAATTCTATGTCCTTCTTAAGCTGTGTTTTCTCTTAGACATAACGATAAGTTGCTTGCAAGTCCAGTCAAGGATTTGCTACAAGTTACACCTAGTTACAGGCACAATCTCTGCAGTGGAAGTGAAGTCATGTATTTATAATTTTTCTAATTACGGAAAGAAACACAATTTCTTAATAGTTTCATTGGTTATTAGTTTCAGACGTTTCATAATAAAAATTGTAATTTCCATCATATATATCAGAATACATAGATTCCAAAATTATGCAAATAATTTGACTTCCGAAGGAAGCAGTTAAGATAAGGACATAAAAAAGGAAAGTAGTCATAGATAAACTACGTATAATTATCAGAATATTATAAGGGTTGTTCAATTGAAAAGGTAAGAAACGTCGTAACAAATGAACCGCTCGAAATTTTAAATATGCCATACTGACATAAAGTAATGAGGCACCTAAGGTGACGAATGTAGTGTTCGGCGTGGTTGTGCGCAAGCACGTAACAGAGTTGAGCGATAGCGTAAAAAGCTTTAATAAATCAGTTTTGGGCAACCGTTGAGATAAAAAAAAAGAATTCAGATTTTTTTTGTTTGTTTTTCTTTCCTTGATTTTATTTCTAGTAATGTCTGTACTATATGTTTATACCATATATTTATACCAAAATTTTAAAACCGATCTTGGTATGGATGTGTCAGTTGCTGCTTTGAAATTTCTGAGATGAAATATGTGGTAATTAAAACAAGTTTAATTTGAGAGAAGTAAAAGAGAAGTTAACACTTTTGCTAAAGAGAAGTTATAAATATAAAAGTATACTGGGCATAAAACAACATTTAAATACTCTTGCTAAGTGATGGTAATTTTATATAAGTACTTATAATAGCAACACTAACTGCATCATATACAAAAACAATTTATTCTAAATAAAACTAGATGTATTCCGCTTTGTAAATTACATCAACATAATGTTCATTAATTGCATATATAACAATCAATAGCCTAAATTTCTGGCCTGTTTTCCTAAAAATTTGAAATTTCTGTGGATAAGCTTCATTAAAATAATTTAAAACATATTTTGGGTTCAACTTTAATAGGGAAAAAACCTTAGGAAAAATACCTTATTTCCTCATTCTTCTCCCCCAACTTTTTTTTAGCTAATTTTATCATCTGAAAATTGAGAGAGGAAACTTCTGCGAAGAATTTAATTTCATCAAAAGAAAATCAGAAAGGTTTGAGATTTTAAATTATGTCCAAAGGGGCATTTTTTAAACCTTTATTTATTAAATATCATGGTCTTCACACTTAAACCATAGAATTCAGTTCGAGAGCAATATTGCAAAATAATTTTAAATTGAGCGTATCGTTAGAATTTCCAATGCACACTGGAGATTTAATTATTTTTTTCCCTGTACAACATTGTCATTGCTCGCTTTGAAATCATTGAGTTTGTTAATAAAAAATTCGTTAAAGTTTTACAAAATATGAAATCAATAATAGCACAATTTCCCAATTCCAAAAATTAGGTTTCCAGATACCCATACTCACAGTAGGATTACTCATTCAAAATTTGATAGCTCTAGGTAAAGTTGTTTTATCACAATGCGAGAAACAAACATACATTTATACAGATTCTTCATTATTTAATTTCTTCAAATATAATACAGGGCGATAATATTTGGTGGCAGCGATTCGAAAATTTTTCAGTGCAAAATGCCAAAATGAAATTAATAGTCAGAGCAAATTGTCCCTTTGGACAACTGAATGTAGAAAGATCGAGAACTGTCGAGAAAAGATGATATATAAAATGTAATAAATAAAAAATATAAAAAATAAGATTTTTCAAAGCAGTGTTTGTTAAACTATTTATTATATTTGTTAAAATAATGTAAATGGACGGAAATTCTGTATCAGATAGAGAATTAATGTTCTCTAATGGATAAAAAAAAATGAAAGCGTATTCACAGGTCTTCTTGAATAACAAAAGTAGGAGATAGCAATTTCGTTAAACGAGATTGTTAAATGAACTTGAAAATGTCCAAAAGGTTTTACAAACCTCAAAAGTAGTAAACTTCCTATCCTTACTTCCGTTTGCTTCAAACGGACGTTATTTCTGTGTATGAAATTACTTAAGAAATTGTACACTCTGCACACACACACACAAAAAAAAAAGTAGGGAAAGTCTTTACCTCCCTCTTTATTGGGCCGATTGACTAAATTTTGCTTGCCTTTTTCATGTCTCAAAAGCATGAATTAGGATATATATTAGATTAGTATACAGCATAGTCATAACTTGTATTTGAGTCAAAATTAATATTTCAAATAATATGTCAAAAAGTATTTTGAGTCAAAATCGGACTTCTTTCTCAAATGTCATACCTAAAATTATGCCAAAGTGTTAAGTAGTTTTTAAAGAACTGGCTGTCAAAATGTTTGCGCTACAGCAATAGTTGAATTTGAGATGTTTTTATTTATGTACTTTTTTTATTTAATTAAATTATTTTCCTACTTCTTTCCTTCTCCTCTCATTTCAAAATTTAGGTTCAATTCAAATAAATTCCGTAAATATTTTCTGATTTATTTTTTAAATTTGTATGTTTTGGTAATTTTTATAAAGTTTTCAAAAATATTTTGAATTACAACATTTAAAACTTTTACCATCACATTAAAGTAGATGTATTTCTACACCTACTAAAAATAGGGTTTTTTAATTCAAAATTCTTAATATATACATGAATTTACATATTGGCGCATTTTAAAATTTGATATTTTTTATAAGTGATTCTAGTGCAAAATGTGGTTTACGCACTTTGTTAAAATTATTTGAAAGAATGAAAGCTTCACCTCCTGCAAGATCATAACGAAATGGAGAGGAAAATAGGTTACCATAAATTACGAATTTTGCCAAGTGAAATTACTCTTGGCGCAAACTGGGAAAAGTGGATCAGGATAATTTTTTAAATTTCTTGGTAAGTTTCCATCAAATTTCACTGAATTTTAATATTTAGGCATTTCTAAAAACTCTCACCCTGAAAAAATCCAATTTTGTGTCGAAATACCTATGTGACAAAAATGCAATATATAAATCTAACATATATCCTAAGTCGTGCCTTCGAAACATGAAAAACGCAAATTAAATTTCGGCAACTGAACCAGTAAAAAGGGAGATATGGAACCATTCCTCCTTTTTTTCGTTACAAGTTAATTATCTGAATTATTAGAGGGGGGGGGAACTGCTACCTCGATATCAAGTATCCAAGGTAGCAGTTTTTTCCCCTTCGCCATCTTCTGTCCTCTCCTCCTGCTGCTATTAATGTGCTGTGCTCATTTTCCTTGAAGCACCCTTCTATGGGACACAAAGTTCTGACAGCCAGAACACAGCATGAACTTTTCATGCTAATCTCGGCATACAGCGAAAGTATAAGTTAGTTGATAATAGTCAGCTCTTGATTACATAAATAACCTGTTGCAATCGTTTGTGAAGTTGAGACCTTGCCGACCAAAGATGTGCATTTGAGTGTTTGCCATCAAACTCTGAGCTCGAATTAATGTGCCTACCAAAGGTGTGCATTTGAGTGTTTGCCATCAAACTCTGAGCTCGAATTAACGCTCAAATGCCAAGTTTTTGGTTTATCCATTTTGTGCACTTTGTGAGTTTTTCACTAAACTGTGCAATGTTTGGTCTCATTCATTCGCTCTCCCAACACTGTTGTAAGTACAGAATGGAATTCTAATATTCTTCTTTCTCTGCCTCTCAGAGTGGTATGCAACCCTATGTTCTATGGTAATTGTTGCTTATCTGAATGAGTACTATTACGCCTCTTAATTTGTAAAAGTAGTTTAGAATCACCATATATATACTTTCCAGAATACAGAAACTGTTCAAACACATGAACAATGTATTCGGATGTCCAAAATAAAGAGTGCCACAGCTGCTTTTCATGACCATTCATACTGTATAATCACCAAAAAAGAAAAGCGACTAATTGCTTAACAGATTTAAGAGAATTTGCTACAACTGTATCAGGGGTTCTCGGCCAAGGAAGAATTCCACCCTAGGGAAATTTCATAGTTTCAGGGAATGAAGTCCGCCATTAATTTTTCTCTTAATTACTTAGTTTTAGTTTACGAGTATACAAAAACCACCTCTGTTCCAGTTTTTGTATTTATCAACATTCTGTACATTTTTTCTTGTTTAATTTATGAAAGGCATTAAAAATAATCTAAATTTAAATAAACGTATATATATTTTTCGAGTTTTGGGAAGGAAGAGAGAAATGATGGTCTAGCAATGGTGAAAGGGGTGCATGGGAGGAAAAGGTTGAGAGTCCCTGAACTACATAATCTCAAATATCCTGACATAGGACATGATTGGAAATTTGTTCCCTTTACTGATGATTCTAATTTTAAAAGGCTTTTCGCCAACCTCACTGCATGCCTAAGTGGCAAAAGTAATAACACCAGCTAGCACCAGAATATCTGGAATCTGAATTCCAGTGATTATTAACGTTTCTGCCTACTTCTTCTGATTATTCACGTTTCCGCCTCCGAAATATCTTAATCTCCGCAGCGGTGCCCATCTTATTTTAAAAATGTTGTGGATGATAAATCATCACAGATTTGGTCGACTTGCTCTCATTCCTTTCTTTACAATCAGTGTCTAAATGGGGAAGAATATAAGGGATTCTTCCTTACCTCACTTAGTGTTCTGGTGGTGGTGTAACTGGTAGCACATCAGACTAGCAGTTGGAATTTGAATGCCAGGGGGAATATAGCTGCTTTTAGCTGAATATAGTTGTTTCTATCTTCATAATACCTCATAGTCTCTAAGTAGCATTAGTCTAAAAAATGTGGGGAACAATAATTCGTCACCATCTGAGTTTGGCAGACGGGTCTTGTTTCTTTCATTCTAGTTGCCTTTTAAGGGGAGTATAAAGCATTTTATCCCCACTGCATGCTTTCGTGATGTGCGTGAATCCAGTGGTCTAATCCCTGTAAGGGTGTAATTGATTTTTCGTATTTCTTACTCCAAAAAGTAAAACCGTCGTTTATTTCGTACTAGTTGCTTTCTAAGGGAAGTATAAAGAATTTTATCCTGATTGCATGCTTCCGCTGTATGCCAAGATAGCATGAAAAGTTTGTGCTGTGTTCTGCCTGTCAGAAATTCGTGTCCCCATAGAAGGGCACTTCAAATAGAATGAGTGCCGCACAGCAAGTCCAGGAGGACAGCATAGAAGATGGCAAGGTGGAAAAAAAAGGCTACCATAATACTTGATATCAAGGTAGCAGTTTTTCTCCCTAATAGATAATTTTCCCCTGATAATTTAGATAATTAACTTGTTGCAATCGTTTGTGAGGTTGAGACCTTGCCAACCAAAGATGTGCATTTGATGATGTGTGCATTCAAAGTACGAGCTCGAATTAACACTCCAAAGCCGAGTTTACAGTTTTACCAGTTTTGAGTTTCTCATAAAACAGATTGTGCAAATTTTGGTCTTGTTCATTCGCTTTCCCAACACTTTAAGTTCAGGTTGAAATTCTAATATTCCTCTTTTCTGCTTCTCAGGGTGGAATGCGACCCTAGTTCTATGGTAATTGTTGCTCATCTGGATGAGTACTATCACCCCTCTTTGTAAAAACAACTTAGAATCACCCTGTATGTATATAGTGTAGCTAGATAACTTAATGTCTGATAATTTTGTTAATGAAACCATCGTTCTGCTCTTACAGATGTGTTTTCTTTGAAATTAGATTTAATATATATTCATATATTTTTAATAGGATCATAGGTTAGATTTGTTCTGCTGCATAAGAACTTCTAAGCAAGACAAGATGAATAGTAAAGGAGTTCTGTACAAATTTTTCAAGAATGTTTATGCTCCTATTTTATTAAACAACTTTTCAAGAGTTCTTGTGGTAAGATAACTTTCTTCAAATTATGGAAATTTTTAAATTTACAAAATGTTAGTTTTTGATAAATTATCTATTTTTTGTCATGATCAAAAATGTGTATATATTAGTAAATCTCGTGAAAAATTTTGTATTGATATCTGAATTAGAATACATGGTCAGAATGCTTGTAAGTGTACTACTATATGGAAGCATTACCACTTAACATGAATGTAAAACTTATCGGTTATTTATTGGTTTCTGTCTGTTTCAGCTTATTGCATTTTTGGGATGGTTGTGCTCCTCTGTTGCAGTGCTAAACAAAATAGATATTGGATTAGATCAAGAATTAGCAATGCCTGAGGTATCTATTACCGTATATTTTCCCTTTAAGAATAAATATTAAGCAGTTTTCTTTCCTTTGATACCAAAGTCTTACACTTTTCATTAATTTTGTAGGATTCATATATGCTGAATTACTTCCAATATTTAAGCAAGTACCTGTCTGTAGGCCCACCTGTCTATTTTGTTGTTACTGATGGCTTTAATTATTCAGATGAACATGCTCAGAACAGTATATGTGCTAGTCATGGTTGTGATGAAGATTCTATGATGGTACAGCTTAAGTGGATGGCAGATCGGAGTAATAGGTAAAAAATCTTTTATTTTAAATTTTATTAAAAGAATTTTATATTTATTTGAACTTTAAATTGTAATACTTTTTAAAAAAATTTTCAGAACGTATATTGCACTACGACCTGTCAGTTGGCTTGACACATATTTTGAATACATGCATAGCCCCAGCTGTTGTTTTCATTATAATCAAACACATTGTCCAGCTGGCTCAAGACATAATCGTAAGTTATTTTATAAAACGTAAATACAGCAAATTTTAATATATTTTGTATAATTGTTAATTAAAGTGCTTTTATTATTATTCTTCTAGAATGTGAATCCTGTAGTATACCTCGAGGACAGCGTCCTGTTGGTGATGTCTTCAATAAAAATTTAAGAAATTTCTTGCAAGAAGTTCCTAGTCAGATATGTTCTAAAGGGTAATTTTTTAACTAAAGTGTTTGTGATTGGATTAAAAATATGTTCAGTAATATTTTATTCCTTTTATTCAAAGTTGTGTTCCTTATATGCATTTTAATTACCAAACAGGAAAGTGAACTAACTGTTGAGCTAAAAAAAAAAAAAAAAAAAAGAGGAATTAAGTTTCAAATATAAGAGTATAAAAAAAATTTTTAAAAAAGGTATTGTGTTACTAAGAATTGTTATATCATTATTCATCTGCAGTCATTTTATTAAGAACTTGCTAAGAGCAGTGACGTTAGTAGAGGGGAGGGGTTTGCTCCACACACACACATCTTTTTGTGCAAATTAGGTTGATCATTGAAGTGGGTAGTTTTACTTCAAAAATTTATAATAATTTACCTGTATGTCATTTTGACATATTTTAGCTTTTTGCTTGTGTATGGAGAGGAATGGTAAATTCAGGGACAGCCTGTCCGGCAGTAGATTAAGGGTTATTTGAAGTCTGGGCCAACAGCATCCGTAAACAGTCTTATGTAGCGATCTAAGACCTTGTCCACAAGTCTGTAATCAGTTATGAAACTTCCACCAAAGATGTGCAGTTTGGTGCAGACAGTTTCATGTAACTACCTCAAGCCATGTAACCACTTCAATGGAAATTAGATCTTTAATGGGCAGAGAAAGACTAGTTGCATGTTACTTTCTCTCTCCAGATCGAAACATATCTAAAATCATAGTTCAGGCATTTGTCTGCACCTTGGCAGTACACAGAGCATGGTCTATTTTCTCTTTGCTCCATTGAATATGAATAATACAAGCCACTTTGGAAGATGGAATGAATCCAAGCCATTTGTTTTTCTCACATAAAATTCAACCTCATGGAGTAGAATGGGTGGTTCATGTGGCAACTTGAAAGTCTAAAACTAATGCTCTTGTAGTCACTTGATGGTTTCTTCAAGCTGAGGACGACAGAAAACATTCTTAGGATGTAATTGCTACTCTTTGCCCAACTTGATCAGGTTGCTTACTAAATGAGCCACTGCTTTAAAGGCAGATCCAGTTTATAACGTATTGAAAGATACTGATATCTTATGTGACCTCTGTTTTTGTTAATCCTGTCTTGAGTCTTGCCAATTCCCTGCTACTTTTGCTCTTCACTGAAAGATAGTTTTGAACTAAATGCATCAATGCTACTTTTGAATTGATTTTCAGAAGGCACATTCCCTTAAAACACTTTATACAACTACTAGACAACATCCATCCATCCATCTATCCATTATGCAACACGTCATCAGTTGCTCAATTTGTATATTTCATGACTGACGTACATGCGGAAGTTCAATTTTGAATTCAGTTGCACATAATTAAAATAATTACACCATCGAACATTGATTTAAAATTATGATTAGTGATTATATTTCTTCTGATTGTCCATTAATTATCTTAAAAAAATTAATGGTGTAAAACATATTCTGTAAATAGAGGTATGAGATGGCATTAAATGTGTAAAATGTTGTATATTACATGTTGGTAATTTTATTAATTACCTTTGTTTCATGGCCAAGAATATATTTTAAACTTTTTTTCTGTTTAAAATAGAGGACGTGCACAGTTTGCTAGTGCTGTAGAGCTTAAAAATTCTGATAAAGGAGTTTCAGTTGGAGGTAAGTTCTATAGCTTTATTATTATTTTAAGATTATTCATGATTCTTGGTTTATTATTTAAGAGATTAATTTCTGATAACATTTTAATAAAAGTGTTATGGATTTTGTAACAATATCAGTTAAATCATCAAGAAGTAAATTAGATGTTATTTAAACCTTGGAAATAATTTTTGATGATTTGCTTTTAGCTACAAACTTCATGACTTACCATACTATTTTGAAAACATCCAAAGACTTCTATGAGGCATTAAGATGGTCAAGAAAAATATCAAGTTGGCTGACAGAAAAAATTCAGAAGAATTCTTCAAGTAATGTTAGGGTATTTCCCTACAGGTTAGTACAATTTTTTAAGCATTCAAGTTAATAAAATTGTGAGAAGTGTGATTTTTTACGTTTGATATTGTAGGGACTGAGATATTCTGTTCTGTAATTTTTATCTAGTCCTAATAATTGTTTTCAAAACAGTTTTTGAGCTGTGCATCATAACGTAGTGTACAATATGAAGTTAAGTAAATCCACTTTGCTGAGATAAGGTAGTAAAAATGGTTTATTTTGTAGCCTATAGCTAGCAGTATTTTATTCTGCTTCAAAATCCAGCATAGTTTGTAACGTATATATGGTTGTTTACAGTATTGGACTGTATATGAGTGAACATTTTCCAGTAGCTTTTGCATGAAAGATCACCTAATATGAACTTCCTGTGTGGAATTTTTTTTAATAAGAAAATTAAATGGTCTGTATTCATAAGGTGAAACTAAATAAATATATTTTCCTGTAAAGTTAAGCGATAAGGCTGCAAATATGATATGTAGAATTTTAAGAAGAGGAAATGTATTTTTATTCAGACCATTACAATAGTCGGCAGAAAATTTTTTAAATTGTTGCAAAAATAATTTTTATTGTTAATGCTTCTTCAAGTCTGTATGAAGTGTTCTGAAAATTCTCTTTTTTGTGAGAGATTTAACACTTGTAAGTAGCATGACAGCCTTTATCTGCTTATGAGTCATTATTACTTAAAATATTTTTTTCTTATTTAATCATCTAAATATAATTTTAGTGAATAAAAGTCTGTAAAAAAAAGTCTGAAATAAATTAATTGAGGTAATAAACTCTGTTCTTCTTAAGTAGATCCGAGAAAATGTGCTACTCAGAGAATTAAAGTCTTATGCTGGGAAAGCTGAATTAAAAGCTTTTCTTTGTGATGCATTGATAAAGGTTCTGCAGATAGGGAGTTGAATTTCAATGTGGGCTGGATGTTCTCCATTTATATATTACAGCTAGACATTTTTGTGGTTTTGGCTCTAAAAAAGCTCATACATGTGTTTTTCGAAACTTGTATTGTTTTTCTGTATTGTTTACTATTGCTTCCCATAAATGCTTGCATGCTTGTAATCTTGGAATGTATCAAAACCATAAAGTGTATCTTGGCTAGACCATAAACTGTAATCTTGGTTTAAATTATTTCCATGCAATTTTATGCATAAAATAATTTAAACCAAACTTGGATTACATGGAATATTTTTTTTTTTTTTTTTTTTACTTAATTGTAACAGTGTGCAACAGAAATACTGTTTAAATGTTAATTTAAAAAAAAAAATCTCAGTATTGTGTAACTATTTAAAACAATTTCAGGAATATTTTGCAAGAATTGATGCAGCTGTTTGATCAGATTTTGGATTTTTTAGTAATATGTATTTTTATTCAGTATATACTTAATATTAATTTGTTTTGTACCAGATATAATGTTTTATGCTTAAAATTATTAGTTATCTAATTTTCAAAAAATCTTTCATATATTTCGATATCTTTTAAGTATACTATTTTTCATTGTATCCTGTTGTCTGTACCTTTTAATTTAATCTGTATATTAAGCTTGATCTTGTCTAGTTATTTATAGCAGATTCTGAGAACCAGTGTTGGATGGATGTTCTGATAGTGAATCTGATTGGGTGAACCTTTCCTTCCTTTGCTGTGAATTGTGGACCACGACTTGTGTGCCTCTGAATTTGAATGCTTGAAAAGTTTGTTGTTAACTGCATGAAGCTAGTATATGTTTTTGTGTTTGCATGTTAAGTTTATCTATATATATACAATTTCTTATTGAGCAAACTATTTCTTTAAATGTTAACATTTCTGGTACTGAACAATTTGTAAATGTAAGCAGCAGTCTAAGCATGCATATGAAGCTTTTATTATTAGTTTTGATTATTTTACTATAAATTTTACTGTCATATTAAAAACTCGCAGCACCTTTATTAAGCTAAATATTCATGAGCTGTTTGAAGTGTGAAAGAATTTTTAAAATGTCAATATCTGATAATAGTATTCACTTGAAGAAAAGAGATAAGCAAAAAGCTATATATGTTATATGTAGAATATTTGTGCAGTACCCTTTCAAAAGTGTCTTGCTGGTCTGTTTGCTCAGATACCTTTCATTTCTTTATATTATGAGAGAACCCAGGAGATATGATGCATAATATTAATATAATGCACAATAGATTGAACACAGATAACACATATGAATGTGACAGGTTAATATTGATTCATGGTAACTATGCTAATGTTATATCTTGTGGGGTTAGGTGGATATTTTAAACAGATTACTGATACTAAGTAATGATCCATGTTAACTGTATTTGCAGCAAATTTATTACATTTTATTACATTTTCCTGCTGCCATTGGCCAGCATTAAAATTATAAGCACCATTTACTTTTAAAGTGTCAATTTACTTGTGCCAGATTCGAGCTCATGCACGTAGCATCACTGAGCCATATGACTAGTATAATCTAGCATCACTGTGCCATATGACTAACTACATATTGACAGTAATCTTGATTTATTTCTTACATAGTCTTACCGTTGATTTACCTTAGGTATTACTACTGAAAACTAGTAATTTGTTCCATATTCAATTCTATTTGTAATGTGAAACTATTTCCTTTAAAAAGGCCTTCTTTCCAATAGCTTGCGATGCATAACCTACTTTCCATAAAGAATTGAAAGCATTTTGTTATGTAATACATATATCCAAAAATCTTAATTTTGCTGGCCTAAATATGTAAGCTAAATTAGAAGAATTTAAAAGACAGAAGAAGTATACATAAGCTATAAATTTTTAATACTTTCCAATAGCCATATGCTTTGTTTTAAATTGGTAATATAAGTATATAACATGTTAAATTTTAGTGGCATAGATTGTAAATCTAAGTTTTGTCCATCCATCAAGTGTGTGTATTTAAAATATCAAAGTTAGCTGTGGAGTAGCCATATTAAAAAAAATCATATGAGGTGCTATTTTTTACTTCTTTTCTCACAACCTTCATTTTTAAACCTAGAAAACGGCAGTACTTTCTTCCAAATAGGTGTTTCTAAGTTTTTCAAATACTTTGTATTGTATTTTATCTGTTAATATGAAATGCCTGATTTCAGCATCCTTTCTTCCATTTCCTGCTGAATAGTGCATGTCCTTTGCATGTATGCTTGCTGCCTGTTAAGCATTGCAGTTTACATTTTATTGGTTTCTTTTTTCTCTCTCTATATATATCTTGTATGTTTCTTATCAGCAAATGCATTGTACAATAATTGTAATGTGCTTTCCTGTACCATTCTTTTTCTCTGTTTATGAACTGAATATTTTTCACTCATGTGGAAATATTATTTCTTTTTTTTAGATGGTCTGCTCTAATTTTCTGTATTATAGTGCTAAGAAGCCCATTGCGTAAAGCACTTTCCCTTTGAAAGCTTGTTGGTCTCTGCATAGTATTCTACTCTTCAAATTATTTTCCTTTCTTCTGCATTTAAAAATATGAGCTGCTACATTTTTTTTTTCATTCTTGCTCAAGATTTTTTCTATATCAGTGTTTGCAAGTTCTCTATCATCAGAATGTATCATATTCTCTCAAAAGGTTAATGTGTTAGCTAAAGCATTGGTTTTAAAATCATCAGACATGAAGAAGCTCTCTATTTTGCAGTCTGTAGAGCATAGCCAATAAACAGGTACAAAAAGAAGGGTTGTAAATGAGATTTTAACAAGATAGGCTTATTCTGTTTACATTGAAAACAATTTATTGTGCTACATATAGAAAACTCTTACAAAGCTTGAATTATGTTTTCATTCTCTAGATGTAGAATATGGTAATAACACATGTTTCTGTGTGGTAAAAATATGTTTCTATGTGGTGCTTGAAATCTTTTATTGGAAAAAACTGGTATGTTCAAAATTTCTAAAGTGAATACTTAAGGTATGAAGAATTGAGCTTCATGTTAATAGCTTCTGTTTATTTTTTATGTGTGTTTGAATGTGTATCAAAATGTGACTGTATTTATTTTTTGCTTTTAATAATTTCTGTATGGATTACTTGGATTTTTAGTGGGATAGGTGAATGAGATAGCTTCAGAATTCTATTTTCGCAGTTAAACTGTGTGTGCGTGTGTGTGTATATATATTTATTCTTGCCTGATGTTATATGCTGTTTTCACATTGTTGAATACTGTGTAAAATCCAAAATCTCTGTCAATTCATTAAAAGTCATATTCTATCCTATGATTTATATAAAGTATTTATTATGTTGTTAAATACTAGGGACTTCAAATAAACCTGGTTGATAATTGTCTCACAATGTTTTACTAAATTCTGTTAGTTTAAGTTAAAGAAAGTCATTTTAATAACACTTCATATGATACCTGTAAGTTCTCTCCCACTGGTTTTAGTGATTAGTTTGCTAAAACTGATCGCTTAATTGGTTTAAGCAGTTATTAATTACTGGAAAGTAAATAATTATGTTAGATTATTTTAAGTATCTGCACTATTCATATTGGATGTGTGAGGGAATGTTGGAAGTCCTTTGATTAAAAATGAAACATGGTAAAAATAAAGAATGCAAGAATACATTTTGATACTTTGGTATCCATTTGAATCATTTCTGAAAGCACTGCTTTGTTGTATTCTAAATGTATATATGAACAAATGAAACATTTGTGCATCATTGGGTATGAATTGCATTCTGATCAGCGTTCTTTGATTGCATTGTGGTTTGGAAAGTGGACAGTCATTTGACATTGTATTGGTAAATAAACAATTGTGTAGCTTTTGACAGTGGTTGAGCTGTTAGAGCATGGCTAGTTTGACGAAGAATGTTTGTTTTTAGGTCCATAACAGTATGCAACAGTTTTGTCACAAAAGCTATAGCATAAAGCTGCTCTTGGTAAAATATTTATCACATTTTCGTATATCAGTTAAAAGTGTACCTGCTTTTGCAGCATCAGTTTGTGAAGGCTTCATCTGCAGCAAAACTTCTGAACAAATATGTTGCCATGTGAGCTTCATTTTTGTAATACCAAGGGTGCACAGAATTCTGCATATATCAGCTGCTCATCCTTATTAATCTTGCAATGCATTCTGCTCATATTTCCTGTATTTTTATGATGTTCATGTGGCTTTCATCTTCCTTAATAACTCTTTAAATATATTAAAAAATAGCATGGAGTTCAAACTTTAAATACAAATTTGCCTTTCAAAGCTTTCTTATGGCAACAAACATACTCAAAATTTGCACATAATCAACTGTTTAAATTACTTCTACATCAACTCCATTTTACTGCTGACATACAAATCCATCGTCAAACCTGTCTTTTACAACTTAGCAGCATGACAGCATCCTGGTTTATTCAGTATTGTTACCAAATGTAAGCTTTGATTGTTACCTGTGTGATAAACAATGCTTTAGGAAATTTAAATTATTTGAATGGGAATAGAATGAATGTTGATAAAAAAAATTGCTGTGAAACTTGTGTATATTACTTAGAATGTATTTTTGTTTTGAATGGTACTAGAAAAATGTTTTGTGGTTGTCAGTTTTTGTATTCTTTAGTTAAAATATTACTGTTGAAGAAAGGTTTCTAAATAATTATGAAAAGCATCTTTCTTAACATTCATAAATAACAAATTTTTAAATGATCAAGGCTCATTATCAAAATGCCCTGCCATAGCAAAGCATATCTGACCTCAGAACATTGATAATTCATTTGTTGTATAGTTAATAAGTTCTTTAATTTCCTTTATCAAAGTTGGATTAACAATTTTGCAACTGTGTCTAATTATGAAATTGTGCTTTTAAAAGTTTTTAATCTTCTAGGCATTCCTAAATGAGAATTTTGTACTAATGCTTGTTTAAATGCAATTCTAGAAAGAGGGATTTGATTGCTTAAAATATGATAATAAATATTGGTAAGCACCATGAGTAAAGTATATGATGAAAAGACAATGCTAATTATTAAATAGTAGTGTGAATTCCAGTCAGTCTGTAATTCTGATATTTTAAATTAGTTTAGAATTTCGAGTCTCTATAAAATTTTGTAGTGAAGTTCTTTTTATTGTATTTAGAATATTGTACTTCCAATAAAGCTTGCCTTAAGTTGTTGAAAAGTCTTGCGTGAAATATCAAATACACAATATTTTTTAGGGTTAGTGTGAATTTTCTGTGAGAACTTTTATTTACCTCACTCAGCTTTTTAAAATAATTGAATGGGTAAGTGTGAATGGAAAAGAGATTGGTTTCTTTTAAAAGTTAAATATAATAAACACATGCATTCATAAGAATTGATTGAATTTTTTCATTTGGGTTTATTTCTGATTAAATAAATGTATTGAAGTATCTCGGCAGTAATGATAATAAATTCAAAATACTTGCCATAAATATCTCCAAACTTAATGTGTTATCTCTTGCTGTGTATAAAATATTTTTGCTAATTGATGCATAAGTAGTTTTAATATTTTTATAAATGTATTTCTCTTTGCAGCATAGTTCATCCATTTTTTGAACAGTACCTCACTATGTGGCCAGATACTTTACGTAGCATATCATATTCCATTTTGGCGATCTTCATAGTGACTTTCTTATTCCTTGGTTTAGATATTTATTCCGCTTTTATTGTTGTAATTACCATTGTGATGATAATAGTTAACCTCATGGGGCTGATGTATTGGTGGAATATCTCTTTGAATGCTGTATCTCTTGTGAATTTGGTTGTGGTAAGTCAATTATTTCAATAATATTTTGAATAAATAGAAAAATAAATGTAATAAAAGTGTATTAGTATATTTTTTGTGTTCGTTTAGTTCAAAGATCTGGCTTAATTTTTAGAAAAACTATAAAATTTACCAATAGTAACTTCTGCTGTTTAATAGCTGCCAGCAGTTGTGAATATGCTGTTAACTATAAGAATGAGATTTGCAGATGGTACACTGATGGCAATTATTCATTTAGCATTCATGGTATGTAAAGATTTTTTCAAGAATGTGAAGTCTAATTAAAGGAAGAAATGAGTAAAGTGTACCATTCAGATATTAGAAGGCACTGAATGTAATATTAAGAATTAAATGAATGAACATAAAAGAAAATAATAGGTGCAATTTGAAGTAACTAAGATTTCCATAATTTTCTCTATGGATGTCATTAAGTAACAAAATGTGGGAGCATAACATTTGAAGTGTTGTAGGAGTCAAGCAGATAAGGCAGACTGATACTTTTGTTGTAGATTAAAATTCTGGTGATTTTGTGGTTTTGCTTTTGTAACTTAACTGCAAGTTTGACCAGTTGTCTTAGAAAGCATGTACAGAAACATCTTCCGAGGCATATGTTGTCTTGTGTCTAAATGGCTAAGTTTACAAAACAATAAAATTTTAACTTACTGTTATTTTATGTGGTTGGAGGCACTTTTTCTTATATGTAATACAAATATGTTCCATTTTACCTCAAAAAATGATCTACCAAAATTTCCTTTACAAGCAAATGCCTCTGAAGCATTGCAGTGCAACAAATTACTTATCAGTATTTCAGCAATCAAATTTTGTAACTTTAGTACATCTTGTACTCTCATGGAAGGATTTGTCATCCAAGAGATTGTTTATATTACATTCATAGAAATGTTTTTATGCCAAAAAAAAAAAAAAAAAAAAAAAAAGTTTCCAGATTAATTTTAAATGTAACACTAAAACTATGTAGGTTATGATTGTAAATTAAGGCTTTAAATGTGCTTTTGTGACAGTTATTCTAGAACGGATTGATTATTGAATTGGTATGAATTTGATTGTCCTATCATTAAAACACTTATTTATATAGCTATATGTAAAAAATTTAATGTCTTAAAAAGAGAAAATTTCTGTGTGACATATTCAAATCAAAACCTTTTTACCTGATCATAACTTTAACAAATTGCAAAATGCGTATAAATTTTGGATGAACAAGATCATCATGTTTTTAATTATGTGTAACAAATACACACCATTTTTCCTTAAATATCTTCCCTAAGGCAGATAGCCTGTGTGATAGTAATTGTGTGTGTTTACCATAACCCCCCCCCAAAAAAAGGGGGGGTGTCAGTTTATCTTTTGTCAGTCTTTGGTGGTATACATTTAAAGTTGACTTCATTGCATATTTTTTTGTTTTTTGTTTTTTGTTTTGTTTTTGTTTTATTTCTCATACTTAATCTGCTAACTGAATACTTAAAGCTTGAAATGAAATATAGCATATTAAAATTTAATTGATCAGTTATTTTAGTGTATTTTAATAGCCATTTACCTTTTTCGCCAGGGTGTTGGTATTTCTGTGGAATTTTGTTCCCATTTAACTCATTCATTTGCAATTTGCCCTGAACCTACTAGAGTTAAACGAGCACAGTCTGCTTTACAACGAATGGGAAGTTCAGTATGTATTTTATTTGAATTTCTGCTTTTTAATTTTAGTGCTTCCTTTTGTAGTTTTAATATGTCAGTTGATTATTGAAAATTTGTTATGACCTTTTTATTTATATTTTTATTCATTGTGTGAAAGCAGTTTACATTTTGTGTACAAAAAAATGCTAAATAAAGTGCAATATTTGGGTTCTGTAGTATATGCAGCATTGTTTTTAATCAATAGAAAGGTTCCAGAAAAAGATTTGTATGTAAATTTAGTAAAATAAAAATGCAGGGCATGTTAGGTAAGATTTGTAAAAGCATATATAAAGTAAAATACATGAAGGGAATTATCCTTTAAAAGAAATGTTTCTAGTTCAATGTACATTAATTCAATTTTATTCATTTCTGTATTCTGACTACATTTTGCCACTTCGTTTCAAATGAAGTAGGTTTTGTGTAATATTCAGTAAGTTATAATGTTCTGCTGACTAATTAAATTTTGTTGAATTTTCCAATTCTTCATTAGTCCTGCATGAGTTAATGTTAAAAGCCTGAAATAAGGTTTTTATAAATGAATTTTTACTGATTTTGTAGAATAAAAGAGAAAGATTTGCTGTGCTATTTGACGGATATTTTGGTGATTTAAGTACTCAAAACATGTAAAATCAGAACTACTTAAAAAAATTGTCTAACATCATTATTTCAAATGTAAATTTAAAAAATCATAAATTTTTTTTAAAAGATGCCTTTTAAGCCATATTAGAACAAAGAATAAATCGAAAAACTTACAGAACCAGTTTTTATACTGAGCTGTGTTAAATCAAAATAGCCAGGGGGGGGAGAGAATTTATTTTTCAAAAGAATTATTTACTCTCTGTATAAACTAAGTGATACATGTTCAGTTGTCATTAGCTGAAAATGAAGAATTTGGTGCAGATTACTATTATCATTTATTAATGTTTGCATATGCATTTGGGCTATTTCATTGAAGCTGTTTGGGTAAGATTGTGTGATTCATTGTCTTCGACAGATTTAAGAGTGCCTTCTGAGTGAGTGTCAAATTGTATCTCCTTTTTTTGTGTGACATTATGCTTGTCATCTAATTAAACTTTTATAATGTAGCATAAATTTAAACATTTTCCATAACTCCATACAATGTTTGAATTTGATATGTTAGGGGAAATTTGGAAGGGTAGAAGTTGTACCTTAAATGTAAAACTATAGACTAGACTGCTACAGAGAGAGATTCTTTCCAAACCTTTTAGTGTGTTTATTGTTGCTGTCTCAACTCTGCATATATAACCTAGACATTGTGAGTTGTTCGTTCAGAATTGGACTGGTAACTGGCAAACTAACACTGTATGCTTCAAATCAGAACAAGAATTTTATCATTTTCAATGGTCCTCTCTGCATTTTATACAACTGTTTTTTGCAGCTTTTTTTTGGGGGGGGGCTATATGCATGTAGCAGGTGTTATGCAAATTCATAAAATTATAATTTTGATTTCGGGCATTTATAAATTTAAATGTAATTCATTTTAAATTTAATTATGAAATTTTTTTTGACAATGTTCATAGTCATGTAATAGAATTTTTGTATCATCTAATATGCTGTTTTTAAAGCTAGTTCTGCGGCATTTAAAATTAACCTCATGACAGATTGAAATAAAATTTAGTCGCCACCCCCATAACTAGCAGAGAAGTGGACGTCCATACAAAGAAGTAAATTTAATTTTATCTTTTAATTAAGACATTTTTAAGAGGTATAAGGAAAGTAAACTTTAAAGGCACATGTACAAATTTTGATGTTAACTAGTCTAAAATTAAAATTTCGCACAGAAGATTAAGTAGTGTATGTTATGTATACACTATCTTCCAATAAGTATTTGGACACCTATGCCAATGAAGATACCTGCAGTCCTGATATACATCATTCCCTGTGCAATAATATGTTGTGTAGGAAACAACATTGGGATTAGTGATATGCATGATGCAATGAAGTGCAGAGTTAACTGATTCCAAGAAAGGTAATCGTTGGGTATCCCAGAAATGGCTGATGCTTTAGGGGCATATCTAACACGCTGAATTACCCAAAAATCGATGGTGGCCTATGCGATTCAGAAGTGGAACGTGAGCAGTGATTTTCGGAACGTTTCCTAAGTAGGCAGACCCATGAAACTGTGAGATGGTGACCAACGGGTGCTGCTCAGAAAAATTCGTAAGAACCGCATCAAACCGATGGTTCCCTTACTCCAGGAGTTTCAACGGGCATCCAGGAGTGTTGTTTTGAATACCATCTGTAAGGAAGCATATCTGCTTAGTTTCTTGGTTGAGCTGGCACCCATAAGCCTTTGAACACAAAGTTCAGCTGCACTACTCGGTTACTGTGGTGCAAAGGAATGAGTTCTCTAGAGTGATGAATTAATTACCAACTATTGAATATCAACTAAATTTTGTTTTTCTTTTCTATCACAGGTCTCCAGATACTTATTGGCAGATAGTTTATATTGGATTGAGGTTTCTCAAAGTAGAGATTGCAATGCACTGGGTGTTAGTGTTAAATTTAGTGAGAGCCACAGACCATTTTTAATTTTTTATAAACTAGTTAAGGTATCTGCAAAATATACAGTGATCGAAAAGTAACGAGAAAAGTAAAAATGTAATGTTTAGAAAATACAGACTGTAGCCTGCTGTGGTTTTCATAGCAGTGTACTAAACGAAATGGATTTTTTTAAATAATGGAAATTTTATTATAGAAGTTATATTTTTTACTTAAAAGTCACCAATGTACAAAGGCTAGCTGTTATTGTCCATCAGGTGACAGGAATCCATGCTGAACCTCTTTGGTGTGTAGATTATTACGTCACTTTTCTCATAAATGACAGCCATCATAAACATCTGCAATCCTAGTTGCATTGCGAACTGCAAGAAAATGTCTGAAAAACCGTAGTTCAAGTTACAAATTGTATTTTTTGATACTGAAACTGTTCTGTGTGTGTACTAAAAAAATATTTAATCTCTTTCAGATTTTATCAGGCATTACTCTCACAGATTGTGGGATCCTTGTATTAGCTTTCGCAAAGTCTCAAATCTTTCAAATATTTTACTTCCGGATGTATGTTGGCATCATTGCCTTTGGAACTCTTCACAGTTTAATATTCTTGCCAGTTCTCTTAAGCTTAATAGGTATGATGACATTTGTAAGATTTTTTCTATGAATGAATTGGTATTTTTTATTAATTTATTTATTGTCAGATGCAGTTATCTGTGAATACATATGCCATGTTTAACACCCTTATATGTATTAGATTAGTTTTAAATTCCTCTATGCAGCTTTTATATAACTAAAAAACATTCTTAAGTAATTTATTTTAACAATTAGTATTTTATAATTAAAACTAAAATTTGCACTATCTGTTCTGTATAATCATAGGTAGTCATAGTCTCAAGGTAGTAACTATTTGAAATATTTAGTTCAAATTCTTACAGTACTGAAAAATCTGGAAATTAATATTAAGTAGTTCATTGTTAATCATTTCAATAAAATAGTTAGTAAATTTAAAATTATAATATGTATGAAATTATGTTTCCATTATACTTAGTAATGTACTTTTTTTTTTAGTAAAATACTTTTTTTTTAGTAATGTCTCAAGGTAGTAACTATTTGAAATATTTAGTTCAAATTCTTACAGTACTGAAAAATCTGGAAATTAATATTAAGTAGATCATTATTAATCATTTCAATAAAATAGTTAGTAAATTTAAAATTTTAATATGTATGAAATTATGTTTCCATTATACTTAGTAATGTACTTTTCCTTTCAAAAGGGCCTCCTGTAAATAAGCAAAAAATGTATGATCATATCCATTTACAAGATATCACCTCTCAGTCCAGAATCTCTCCAGCTAATGATGTAAGTATAAATGGAATTGTTAAGATGTGGTAAAATTTTAATTTTCTATATTCTTCCCCTTTTTATTAGAAAAAGTATAATGTAAAGTTAAATGAACATGTATATGCTCTAAAGTACTGTTAATTTGGTGATTGTACTTTAACAAATATGCATTAAACACTGTAGGTTGTTCTTTTAGAAGTGTGATTTTTTAATAAATAATTCTCAAAAGTCTAAACCCTAATACTTATTTTTTCTGCTTTTTTAATATCCATGTCTTAGCCGTATTACATATAAAACTAAAAGCAAAGCAACACATGTGTCAATGTGAATGTACCAATTTTCCATTGGTAGTTCTTTGTCAGTTTATGTATTCATGATGTTCATAGTCAAATAAAAATTAGCTGTAGTATACTTTTGTGATTAATATAGAAAACTTAGTCCCAAAGTTATGTGAAAAAAATGAGATTATTGATATACTCACCAACATCTGTAATATAGGCATCTCTTTTACTAAAACATCAAACAGGAGAAGATAGTTGTAAATGCTCAAGGTGGGTCCTATAGCTTTTAGCATCTTGGAAAAGCTTTTGCTTGGATTTCTTAAAACAGAGCTTTCAGGTTTGCAGCTGTGGATGCTGAGGAATCTACATTTCATTATAATGTGCCTATTCTGTTGCACTGCATCTACAAATTTTGGTAGATAGAACTCTGAATTGTTTGTGTGTCAAATTTCAGATGTAAGAGGGCTGTAAAAATCAGTATATGTACCATGTTTAAAAGGGCACATGATGGATCATTATAGATCCTGTTCAAAAAGATATTCTGAGATTATTCAAGCCCAGACATTATACTTTTTGCTGTTTAATTTACTTTCATTTCAGCTGCAAAATTTAAAGGTGATGTAGAGTATACCATCTATTCAGTATGATTATTGATATACAAACCAACAACTATTATATAAACTTCAAAACTTGGTATCTAATTTTTTTCTTAATATGTATGTTCATGGTTCGTATGTAATCAGCTTTGTACAAGGAATCTAAATGGAATACTACTAATGTATGTAGGTATTTTCAAACATTTTTTATTTGTAAGTATCCTGTTGTATAGTAAATTTTTGTGGTTTTGCTGGGCCATAAGTAATATCTAATAATTTCATTTTGCAAGTCCTTAGTTAAAACTATCTAAATATTTATACATTAAGGGAAATATAATGAAAGTAACAATATGGCATTTCAGAATGATAACATAAATTAAAAAGGGGGGAAAACCCCATGTACCTAGTGCTTTCAGTATCAAGGCACATTTTTGAAATGTTAGGAACAGACAGTTTGGTTTCTTTGGGGATGATTTGGGGGGTATTTATCTCAATAACTGCAAGAGTGAAAGGAAAATATCTGGTTGTAGTGAAATTTTTCCCCCAAAAAATTCTTAATATAAAGTTAGAAAAAAAAAAAAAAAAATGCAGTATCTTAAGTTTGGATAGTAATCACCATCCAAATCTATGATTTGATGCCAGTGTTTTGGTAGTTTTGCAAAGCCTTTGGCCCAAAAACATGGTGGCCGCAAGTCCAAAATCAGATCTTCCTCATTCTGTGCAGAATGGACGATAGCACCAGCAAGATGTAGCTGCAGGTGCGAAGAAAGGTAGGAGCAATGTCGGTGCTATATGGTGGATGTGGCAGAAGATCCTATTCAAGTCTGTACAGAGTCCAGCTGGTGAATGCAGACACTTGTTCTTGCATCATCCTGATGGAACATTACCTTTTTGCACCAGAACTCAGTTTGATGTTTTTCCTTCATGCATTGTCAACACGGACTAGCATCTCACTGTGCACCTTACTGTCGAGGGTTTTACCATTTTCCAGATACTCTTTGTGGATAATACCATGGTAATCCCACCTGATACAGAGCATGATCTTTTTGTTAATTGTGCTTTTCGATGCTGCTGACGGGCTCACTGGGCACAGATCAAACCCCTTTTCAGCCTGTGTTATTGAAGTAAATCCACTTTTCATCACAATTGATGATCAGGTCCAGAATTTTGCCCTTGCGTAGATATTTGAACAGATTAGTGCAAGCCCGAACACATCTGTCCTTAGCTGCTTCAGTCAGCTCATACGGCACCCAGAGATTGAACATGTATGTCAAGTTTATGTGATGCATAACACAACTAATGGACATGGCAGTAACGTCTTAACTCCTTACTAGACTGTCAAGTGGTAGCATACTGATCTTCTTGCACAAGTTCTCACAGGCAGGCTCTCAGGCAGGGATGATGCTCTTCAACATCAGTAGGCAGCCAGAACGTTTTGCTTCTTAGTGTCATAGTCCTTCTTATTGAACTTTTGATACCAAATCTACACAGTGTCATATGATACATTAGTGCCTAAAGCTGTACACATGATTTGGTAACATTCTGTAGCTGACTTTTTGCAACAGAACTGGAAGTAAGTGATGGTTCTACTCTGGTAGCGTGATAGTTCCATTTCAGACGCCTTTTACTTTAATGATAACAATATTTGTTTACAAATTTTACAATACAGTGTTCTAAAGCAAGTCTCTTTCTTTCAAATGCCAAAAATCGTTAGACAAAATATGAATAAACGTGCCAACGCAAACTGTTTGCGCAGACAATATTTGCAGTGGAGGTAAACTTTTGTTAAAACCAAATGTATTTGCCCTTGTAATTGATGATTCACTCGCCTTTAATATTTATTAGCAAATACCTATTGATAAAGTTCGCTTGCAAATTTTGTTTTTAAAATCTTATTATAGCATAAATAAAAATGTTCTTATGCAGGTAAAAATTCACATGAAGTCTAACAATGTTTTATGTATCTTATCTATAGCCTGTGGAAATTTCTATTTTGTAGCATGACACTGTAGAATTTTGGTAGGCTTATCAGTCACATAGTAAAACAAATTTTATTCCTTACTAGGTGTACCCGCCCGGCGTTGCCCGTGCATTTAGAAAATGCAGATAAGTGAATAGCGCAGGAATAGTAGTGTAGGACATGTAGACTGTCTCTCTCTCTTCCCCCCCCCACAAGCTACAAAAAAGAAATGAATTGTAATTAATCGATTTAATGTATCGTCAAAACAGCAAACTAACGCTAGAATAAAGAAATCAATTGTTACAATCGAACGTTATTTGAAAACAAATAATAATATCAGTGAGTCAGAAAAACCGTGATTAATTAATTATAAATAATTTTTTTTAAATTTTTCTAATTCAAAAATCGAAAATCGGGCTTCGAGGTCTGGTGGCCAGCCCCTTTGTGCTTCCGTATAAAAAATTCCAGGTCCCTGCGTGCGATAGATTTGGCTGGAGAGCTCGGTCAGACAGACAGACACATTACACTTGCTTTTATTATTATAGAAGAAGATATCATACAGATAAGAAAGTTTGAGAAGCTGCTGGTTTAACAAAAGATTTTAAGAGAATAATAGTATACAGAGACCAGAGAATTTTAGCTTCTTTGGTCTAAACTTTTCATTTCTAACATAGCTCAGCTGTGTCATCTAATATAACATTTGTCTTGATAGCTCAGCTTTTTTTCTTTCTTTCTGTAGGCTTCTATGTGAACTGATTTGACTGTGATTGCAAGACTGCTGTATAAATGAAGGGGAAAATGTTCTAGTTCATTGAAGTCATTTTTGTAACATAGTTATGTGAATTCATTTGTGACTGTTCCATCATTAAATATATTGACATTCCTCTGTGCATATTATTCCATTTGATATTAATGTGCTGATGTTTTATTAAAATTGACTGTTGGAAAGAATTAGGTAACTGAGTAGATAAGTATTAACTGCATAGCTGTTTGGTGATGTGATATGCATATCATATCATGCCTTCCATGTTTATGTACTTATTTATCTTTTTAAGAATGTTATTTTTCTATTTTAAATTTAAAAGATTTTTATGCTGCATTTTAACCTTGTTCCTACTTAGACCAAAAAGATGTTGTTTTTATGCAATCAGCATAAATAATTTTATATTCTAAAAAATGTGAAAAGTATCTGCCTTCTATATTTATTATTTGAATTTTTTTATATAGTTTCAAAATTTTGTTTGTAATTTGTGTATGTGTTAACAGATGCATTGTAAGATCTTTTCATGAATCTGGAAAACTAATAACAGTGCCTGTTTTTACCCACTTCATTTGGTAACTAGCAACTTTGTGAAATAAATTTGTATTTACAATGAATGGTAATAAAATGAATTTAAAGCCTTATATTACTTATATTTCATGATGTTCCAATTAGATTATAACTATTTAAATTTTATTAATTGTATGCTATATGAATATGCTTGACAAATATTTGTGATAAGTTTTCTAAGAATTAAGTGTTCAAATGAAATTTTAAGGAAAAGTTTTGATCTCTGTAATGTGATAGCATTTTAGTTTCTTTTGTATTGTCATTGAATAATGTCAATTTCGAATATCTGAGAATGAATTGCTTGTGCGCCATATATTATGCATCTGATTTATATTTTTGTGAAAACATTTGAATATTATGTACCAAATGTTTGAGTCATGGTCATATTAGAATGTTTAAGAATAATTGTATCTGCACCTCCTGTAATTGTGCATCTAATTCATATTTTTGTGCATTTGTTGTATAGAAATTGTATTTTCCAATTCAGTTTTTTAAACAGCTATTTAATTTTTTTCTTGTATATAATTTGTTTTTTAGTTTACCCTATCATCCATCCATTCATTCAGGAAACTAAATGTAAGCTCTGTATAGAATTTCAGTTGTACATATTTCTGTTCAACATGAGAAATGTATTGTCAGAACAGATGTCATTGTAATGCACTTCCATAATATGGTGATTGTAGCAGTTTCTCCTATTTATTTTCATGTAGTGTAAAGCTTCATGTACCTCACACTGAATAAATTCTTTTGAAGTAGTTAATGAGTTTTTCACCCGTCTATATATTTTATCAACAATGCATGTAACCATACACATCAGATATGATGAAAAAGCTTTAAAAAACTAAATATTTTTTTAGCCCCCCCCTAAAAAAGCAGACAAAACATGATAGTTAAGGAATGAAGAAATGTATAGGCAACTTCCATAAATAGGATCTAAGGCTGAAGTCCCAAAAATGTCAATAATGAAGAATTGTGGTAATTTGTGCTAATTTGAATTGATTTTCTTTTTACGTACACAAAAAATCTTTTTTCCCGAAAAATATGACTCTCTCATTTTCAACATTACCCATCTGAACATATTATATATTGTTCATTTAGGACCCTGCATCATATGCCTTTGTAGAATGTTGGGTTTTTTTTTTTTTTTTTTTTTTTGTTTGTTTTTGTTTGTGTGTGTGTGTGTGTCAGTATAAATAAAAGTGGTTTTAATTTCCTGCTGTGTATTTCTTTGCTCTGAATTTTAGAAATCCTGGTATGCAGTGAAATTTCAGTTCAACAATCAATACATATTTCAGTCACAATGTGACAAACTCTTAAAATGGAATCATATCATCAATATGGGTAGTTTAATAATTCATCTTGCTGCTAACAGTGATGAGAAAGTTATGGCTTTCTTGTATATGGCCAGGAGTAATCACTTCCAAGATGTACAGCAAAGGCTGTGTTGGGAAGCAGGATATCCATGTAAAATTATAACTTAAGTTTAAAAGAACTTGTAGCATCACTACTTTGATGCTTTGAAGCTATTGTTAAAATAAATTTTAAAAAATTTTCAGTACGAGAGCTACAATATAACATTTCTAATGAGAACAGGAGATTGTTATAAGCAGAGTTGAGAGAAAAAATGCATTACCTACTGCTTATTTAACTTGCCAGTTGATAAACTCAGCTGCTTATAATATTCAGATTGCCAGGAACCAAAATAAATACATAGTGATCCATGGAAAAACCACTGTTTATTAAACTCATCTCCACCACTTGTTAAACCAGGGTTCGTACGGTCCTTAAAAGTCCTTAATTTTTCAAAAATGATTTTTGGTCCTTAAAAGTCCTTAATTTTGGCCAAAATGAATAAATGGTCCTTAATTTTGCTCATTTGACATTTCTTATCATTTCTAATGATTGCCATTCTAAGTGTGAATTACGATTTCTCATGAATATGGAATTAAAATTACATGGCTCTTAACCAATCTGTTGGCAGATTTGCATTGCAAAAAATTAGCTACCCGAACGACAGTATTGGTGTCTGATTGGCTATTCACCCAATCTTTCGAAACAGGTGTTATCCATAAATTTAGGCAGATTGTGACGAAAGCGGGAAGCCGGAAGTTCTTTAAGACGCGAAAGTGATGATGAAGGTGCTCGAGAAAAAAAAAGGGGGGCGATTCTGAAAATATTTGCCAAAATTAGAGCAATTCCAACCTGGAAGACAACCTTTCCGACACCAATAGGAACGAGATGCCTGGAAAGTGCATTTTCAATAAACTGTGGCTTCATCAAGCTGACTGCAAAGACTGGATATTGATGGATGGCAATCCTTAAATGTGGTCTTTGTCTGAAACAAATTGAAATTTCTAGAATGGGAGAGTCGGCGTTGAAAATTAAGTTTCGTTTTATCATTTCAATTTGTTTTTACACGGTTTTGCTTAGCTTAATTTCTGTGTTTGTTTCAATTAAGCCAACTATTTTGTTTCCTTCTCCGAGTTAACCATTTTGCACATCTTGGTATGGGATATCGGGATTGAGGTTCCTGCAGGGGTCTGTTATCGATTCGCGGCCGAAACGTCTTGGCTCATGTCAGTATTTAGGTCGTCTTGAGGGCAACTATTGACGGTACGCTAGATGAGAAAATAGTTGAAGTTCGGAAATAGATTTGCGCTTCATAGAGCAACTTAAGTATTTGGTTGTTTGAAAACCATGTTGTTTGATAGTAATGCATACTTACTATAATTTGCAGTTAATGGCGAACAATATTAGTTTTTTCTCGAAAACTTTCTTCAAGCTGTAATTTAATAAATTTTTAATGATTTTTAAAGCTTAGAAATACAACTATTCTTAATTGCAAACTAATTTTCCTCGAATTAATATGAAAATACGAACAAAATTAACTTCATGTTTCGAATTACCTAAGAGTTATTGGGTGAAGTTGAACGAAAATATTACTTCCGTATTATATATATATATATCTATTTATACAGTACAAAGTTACGCAGGTCGGACTCGTCGGGGCTTTGGCGGATAGATTTGAGATTTTTCCCATGTTTCATTTAAACTACTCCGTAGCAGTTAGGTGTTATCTACTCATAACTTGTATCGTGTTTAGCACAATTGTGCCGGTTTAGATTTTTAAAGTTCCAATTTAAACACCTTCTGTTATGTCTTCTTTTATTAACATTCTTCATTGGATTGTTTTCTATCAATACTTCCAATTGCGGTCACTTACTTGTTTAAGTCTTATTAATTTCATGTCGTATTGCTGTGTCGCCCGAAACTGTCTTTTTCGCGTGAAGTAACCGACACTGCTTACTTCCTACACTTCGTTAGCTATTTTTTCCTTTTTAGAACCCCCCACACATTTTTTTTTATGTTGGAAAAAACTTCTGCTTTAACTGAAACCCCAGCCCAACTGGTGCGTTCTGCGAGCTCTCTAGTTCTTCATTTTATTACAGAATAATCAAATGTTATCTTAATTCAATCTATAGTTTTCCTTATCTTGGTTAGTCTTTTTTGCTTCACTTCAAAGCCCTTGAGGCTAGTTCAGGAATGAGGGTACGTGATGTGGTACCAGCCGACCTCAGGTGCTCATTCCGCATTTCTTTTAGGTTCTTTCAAGATTCGCTTTATACACATGCCACGGTTGTTCACAACCCCGAATTAATTTATTCATGTTTTTGTTATCATCTACTCCATTTCTTCTTTGGAAGGGTCTTCTACACTGGAAAAAATTCAAAAAAAAAAAAATCCCATTAACCCTCATGCCTGACCTAGGTAAAAACACTCATTTTTACGTTCCCAATATGTTCTATACTTAACAGTGAATTTTCAAAAATTTGTTGGTAATTCTTGTGCCATTTTAATTCCATATTTACTGTCTGCTGTTTTCTGAGTTTACCTCCCATGAGTCGGTTTTATGTTTTGCCGCTTTCATTTCTTTCTTTGCCAGGATCTAATTCCTTTGCTTCTGAAGGGGTACGACCCTGTGGGGCTCGCCTGCGATTTAGATGTTTCGCCCCTGCTGTTTTCTGTGAGATTCCGGTGGTGTTCTCGGTCTTTATGATGCAGGTATTTTGTTTAAAAAACTGACGGAAATCAGCCCCTTAGCCTTTTTCCTGTTCTCGTTTGTGGATGTCCTGGCGCATTTCCCCCCCTCTTTGAATCTCTTATTTTATTTGATTATGCTGTTGTATCTCCCCCCCCCGTCCGTGACCCCCCCCCCCTGTGTACCCTGGATTCTTCAGTTAGAAGATAAGGAACAGTTCGTTATTGACAAAAAACGGAAACTTCTCAAAAGGTACTTAAGAATTTAGGAATTTCCAACACATTACATGTGGTGAAAACAATTGTGCATGTGATAAATAATTCATTTTTAACACCGATTTCTTTTGAGATTTGAGATGGTGGAACTGTGTGAAAAATGAAAAATATCTTCACTAATTGTCGGTAGTAAGCTATTTATTGAAAAAATCATATGTGGTTCCCAATTTGTATGCATAAACATTTTAATTTCTTTCCTTGAGATGGTGAAATGCCATCTTCAATTAGGTGCAATCTCTTATCTTTTCAATTATCTTCCGCACTATAGCTTCTCCTTCACACTTTAATTTTCGCCTTAGTGAAGCTTTCCCCTGCCTCAGTTCAGTGGGCCTCTTTTTGATATTTTTTTTGACTTTTATGTGCGGGTAAAACTTCGTGCGTTTCAGCTATGAGGAGGCACGTAGGTCATTTTAGATGTGACGTCATCAATGAGCTAGGACATAGCACTGTATTAAAAGAAGGGTGATGACTGCCGCCCCCTCCCCCAGCCCAGCAGGTATTTAGCTTCTGCGAGTTGATCAAAATATCGCAGCCCCAATACGAAAATATGAAAACGTGTTGCTCTATGAACGCTTCCTTTTTCTGATTAGGATTTCGAGCAAGAGAACATTAAAAAAGTGCAACCCCTTCACGCGACTGACACCCTACACCTTGAGTGTGTACCAGTTACACCATGAAGGCTGGGGAGAGGAGGAAACCCCCCTTTTTCCTCCCACTTTTAAAGGGTACCGGAGATTAGGGGACCCAGTCGCCAAGTTCTGGTGGGGACGAATTATTGTCCACCATCTTTGAGTGGACAGCCACGAAGGAAGAAGCAACTTAAAAAAAATGATACGTCGCGGGACTCGACCTGGACCTCTCGAGTGTGCCACCATTCAAGGGGGTGCCCAAACAAGATTTTCATGATATCATTGTGTTTTTTTCGGCGGGGAGGGGGGCCAAAAACGTATTTTGCCCGCGGTGCCAGTTTTGATCGCCTCCACGGCCCCCTTACACACGAAGGTTTGTGGCCGAGTGAGAAAGTCCTTTTAACTGTCGTAAGAAATTTCTTCTTACCCCTATTGTTTTTTGCTAATTTTTTAGTACTATTTTTTTTTGTTATACTTTCACTTGCAAATTAGTTGTCGGTTATACCGTGCGGCGCACCGGTCTGTTTGAGGCTGATTGCTCGTGACGTGCGCCATTTTTATAGTTATCAAGAAGAGATCTTGTAACCTTGACAACTTGCCTGAAATCTGAAAATCAGTTCCATGATCCCATTTAGTAATCCAATAGGAAATTTGTGAAATTTCAGATCTATAGGTGTAATATATGCTTAGTGTCAGTGGCTATATTTGCATTTTGGCCAGGGTTGTTCATCACTGGCAATTTTGAAAGCTTTCTTCTTCATTGAAGCCTGGCGCAGGGTACAGCTAAGAGCTAAAGTTAAATTTAAATATGGAGACTTGAGATGAAATAGAAGCACTGCAATATTTGGGGTGTAATGAAACTCCCATTAGTATTTTTTAAATTATATCATTGGAATTTAAAAAAAAAAAATTTGTTTTCTTTTTCCGTGTGAGAAGATAGTATAGGCAATAATTTTAGAATTGTGTTAGTTGAGAAAGGTGCTATTGTATTTAGGATGTGAACTCAGAAATGTCCTGTAGGAAAAGAGGGAGGTTTTGTACTTTTCCTGTCCGTGACTTCCAGATGGCGGGAGGACCCTACGTAATTGCCTTGGGGCCAATCAGAGGGTAGTGTATATTTTTGGTTGTGCCAGCTGCTCAGTTTCGACTGTCCCTCTCACTCTAGCAGAAGAGTTTGGAAAGAACCTGTCTGTACCACACTCAAAATAACACAATGGCCAAGAACGTGTCTAGGGGTCCACAGCAAAATACATCAAATAACTTATCAAACTAAAAAGTTTTTTAAAGAACTTTGTTTTACTTTGTTTTAATATGGCCAAAAGAATAGATATAATCAAGAGAAGGTAAGAATTCCTGTTAGTGATAACTCTCTCGAGCAATTTGAGTTTATGTCCAAACCCCCCCTGAGCAAATACAATTTGAGTTCATGGCCAAAAATATTGGATTTAAGTTGGATTGAGCATATTCAGTATAGGGTGTTTCTAGTAAATTTACCTGTGTCATTAAAAAATTGGAAACATTAATTAGTTATGCCTCACCTACTGGATTAAGTCCCAAAGAAAGGCTGAATGTAATTTTTAAGATTGGCTTGACTCATTTTCTAGGCCTGTAACTTCCAAAAAGTATTTTTATCAATTTTGTGAAAGTAGAAATACAGTTGACATCATTGAGTCACTGTTTCATATGCTTTATCAGATCTTAGGGTATTTCTTATACATTGTTGTGCCCAAGCAAATGATAATGGGAATAATATGGAAGGAAAACAACACTAAGGTGATCAGCTCATATTCTTCAAGGAAACCAAAATTGCTGTATACCTTATTTTGTTCAGAACTTGAATTTCTGTGTTATGCTCCAAAGATTGTTCATTTTTTATTTTATTCTTTGTGATGAGCTGATAAGATTCTGATTAATTGTGTGCTTGACTTTGAAAATACTGTGTGAACTCGGATTTGGAGTATTTAAAGCTCTTAAGTAGAAACTTACATAGGTGTTGAATTTAACGAAAATTTTATAAAAGACAACGTGTTTTATTGAGATGTTCAGTCTGCTAAAAATAGTCACATTCACACTGAGGTGATGAGGGCGCTTGTAATTTAATATAGCAATTTTATTCACGTCAATAACGCGATTTAATGCAGTACAGTCAAAAGTCGTTAATTCGGACACCCATAATCCGGACCTCAAAGCTACAAACTTTCTGCGCATGCGTCGCGTCGACGCATGCGCATAGGCGTTCACGCGTGCGCGTAAGACCTTTACAGCTGCGAATATGCGTGTGCGCAAGCGCATAATACGTTTACGAATGCGCGTTTAATGTATAACGGACGGTATAAGCTAAGCTAAAATTATATAATTCAGTTAATGTTGCAGATTGCGTTGTTCCTCAATTTTCGAATTGGATCCGGCTTATTATTTTTTTCAGACTGTTAGAGCAATTTTATAAAAGTAAGCTTGAACTTTCGATTATGTCAAATAGAATTTCCGATAAATATTTACTTATATGTAAAGGATCTACAAAGCGAAAGTATGTTTTGAAATCCGAAATCTGTTTATCAATTTCCCGCTGCTCTGCGGCAGGGGGGGGAGAAACGCTGCGGCGCGCAATGAATTGGAAGTTGATCTGTCAGCACTATCCTTATCTTCAGGATGTTTTTATTTTATTTGGCTTATAATTCCTTACTAAATGTAGTATTTCATCTCGATGTACTCCATCTTTGATATGATTTAAATCAAGTTCCTCCTCATTATAATTCGCTTCCGATAGTGAAGAAAGTGACAGAGAGGTTATTGAAAACGAAAACATTTCGATTGACAAATTAGTCGGTATTCTTGACACAGCAATTATAGGACTTGAACAGCGGAACTTTGTAACTAAACAAGAAATTATGTCTGTTTAATAGAATTAAAGAGAAAGTATTATCACATGAAACGAAGCAAATTAAACAACTTACATTGAAAGAAATGTTTAATAAAGTAAACAAATAAATATTAAGCTTTTTCTTTTTGTAAATTTTGATACCCTTTAGATTATAATTGTTCTTTATTTCATAAATTACGGTTTCATATTTTGTATTTTCTGCAGGCCATCTTACCAGATTTAAACTGATGATCTATAATCCGGAAAAATCGATAATCCGGAACCGACGAGTCCGGATTAACGACTTTTGACTGTATTAGATGTTTCAGATCAGTTGTTTTGAAACCCAGGACACTTTTATAGCATTCATTCTTGTGCTGATTGTATGTAAAATATTAAGGAAGTAGAATTTTTATTTAAAATTCTGAAGGGGAAAAACTGAAGATAATGAACTTTCACTTAATAGAAGATAATGAATTCACTTTGTATCCACTAAACATATTCTTTTTGGGATTGCCGAATATTTTTAACTTGTTGAAGTAAGCTCGGAACAGGCAAATATATCATCATATAATTTTACATTATTTCATTCTTTGAAATATAAGATTTTTCCCCCTTCTGCTTTTTTTAATTTTATGAATGACAATGAATAAATACATGCTTTCGTATACAAATTAAATTTATTTAAGGAAAATAAAATACAAGCAAGTTAATAAAAAGTACCAATACATTTTATATAAAATATTAGGGAAAGACATAGCACCACTAAGCTCTTCTAATTCATGCCTGTTGTTATGGCGGCTGAAAGGGCTGATCGTAACTTATTTTTATTTTTTCCATAAGAATGTTCTTCATGAAAGTATCTCATCTAAGACATCCAGCCTTAAATCCTTTTCCTTGGCTTTGTCATTAAAAGTAACCACACCTGTAATAATAAGAATAATAAATAAACATATCTGCTTGTTTGACTGTTCACTTAACTGTTTGATGTGTTTATGAGGTTGACATTTCTTGGTGTTATTTTTATTAGCATACCATCATGGAACATCTGGAAATTTCTTTGCTAGTTGTCATATATTTAGATGTTTTGACTGTTATCAAAGTCTGAAATTTTATGTGCATAAGGCAGAAAAAGTGAAAAAAAGTATGTATTTTTAGAGGATATTTTATGTGTACATTTTTAATTTTAAGCACTAAAATTCAGTGTTAAGTCTATAATTATATATCCAGTACTATGAAGACTTTGCATACCCCCTGTATTGTTCTTGATCCCCACCTACTCACTACTAATGATTTGTGCATTTACCCTTCTGTGTCAATAACCTTAAGACAATCATTTTATTTAGTCAGAAATTCCTTTGTACATTAAGAATGCCCTCTGCATGTACACAAATATTAATGTATTTGAAAATCTTGTCTCGTAATGGAATATTCGTCTATTGATAACTCGTTAGCGTAAATGCTGCTGTACAAGCAAATGTGTAAATAAGTTATAAAATTACAGTTTCAACATTTAAGTACCAAGAGTAGTTTTTTTTATAATGGTGGAGCAGTAGGTCATAACTCTACTGAGCATTTTTAATTTATTCCTATTTTTATTCTGGCAGCTGAACGGACTGGCTGTATTGGGCTTTTGTGTTTCGCCTTGTTAGAATTATAAGAAATTTTTGCAACAATTTCTGCTTAAAGTGTCCTAGTGAAGTTTGTTTGTTTCGAAAGGAGATGCATAATTTTTTATAGTTTTTGTAGGGCTTGCTTGGTATGATGCAAATTTTTACATCATGCTTCCTTTTACACAGTAGCAGATCTATCACAGCACATTCAACTACATAATGATCTTGCCCTAGAGTTGAAAATGTATAGATGAAATTATATATGATGACTAGATATGAAAATATCGCTTTTTAATAGTGAAGTAGTTAAATAAGCTGGGAATGAATCATACTTTGTTACAAAATGTGCTAAGGGAACACTCGTATCCAGAAAGATCCTACTAGCCATAAAGGAATTGGCTACTTTCCTGTATCAGTCGTGTTCCAAAATTCTTCTCGCATAAGTATCTGAAGGGAAAGCAGTGTTTTTCAAGACGGAAGGCTGGCATGTCAACAAAATTACATACAGCATCAGCAGAAGAAGCCACGTTATTTATAAGGGCATTCGCTGATTCATACCCCATGATCTCCGCATAATCCCATAATGAGAGAGTGAGTAGCTGTTTGCATAATGTCATTCCTAAGGTGGTGGTGTTTTTGGTCCTCAGGAGGCTGCAAGACTGCTATGAAGATCATATAATCTCCTCTAACTTTTATATAGTTAACTGCTTGACGAAGGATTTGACTTCAAGCTTGGATATCAACTGACATATGGCTCACAATGTGGAGAAAATGAAATGTGGCATTGTTCATCAGAAATTGCATGATAAGAAGGAAGAAGCGGATCATGATGCAACTGGTAACTGGATATAAGGCACTTCACTCGGGCTGCTAAATGAATACAAGCCACATGAAATTTATAATACAGACGAAACTGGACTGCGTTGCAGAACATTACCAGAATTAATACTGAATATTTAAAACTGAAACAGCATCTGGTTTAAGAAACTAAAGGACCCAACATTAAGAAGACAGCCGTGGTTATTGACAAAAGCAGAAAACCTCAATGTATGAAAGGAATTAAGAATTTACTTGTAACAGAAGATAGAGAAAGCATTATTTAACTAGTTAGTTAAATAATGCTTTCTCTATCTTCTGAGGTGTTGGCAACTGCTGCATTCTAATAAATGTAAAATATTCAATCTGTATGTTCCTTGTTAGCTTTTAGTATTCAAGTGTATTTGTACATGATCAAAATATGTTTATACACATTTAAGTTTATATAGTTTCGCCTGTTGTCTCTTTCCGTATAAAATGATATACAACTTTTCTTTCATAATCTGTATACTGTGGTTTCTGTGCAGTTGGTGAGAACATATGCTACAGCAGCTTTCTCATGCATAGTTAGACAAATTTATCCCGCCAGTACCTTAAGGGCTTCTGTAGAAGTGATGCGATAGCACGTACAGTAAACTTTCTTTTCACGGACTCAAGTCATTTCCATCTGTAATATTTGATCGAGTGTCCTGATTGATGCTTTGTAGCCTCATAGTACATTGGGATTTGGGGGCCAAATTTGCTCTGCTTAAGAAAAAAGAAACTTGTAACTTTTGTTCTTAGTTTTTGTTAATGCAATATGCTCATCCTTATTATTTTTGTTCCTGTAGCTACTTTACCAACATATACGAGGGCATTTCGAAAAGTAAAGATACACCGTACGCCAGAGGAAAAGAAAAGTTTTGGTGAGCAAGTTGGCAACACAGGTGTTAACCTTGAACCGTTAGCTTTCTCCTCGCGGTCGTTCGGCATTTCAACGTTGATTCTGGTTGGAGTAGGTCGTGTTTAAAATGGCTGCGCCGATTCAGAATCCAGCCAAATGCGAAGTGCGCTCTGTCATATATTTTCTTCATGCAAAAGGTCAGCGACCAGCGGATATTCACAAAGAAATTGTTTCTGTTTATGGGAACATTATGAATCGACAAAATGTAACGAAATGGTGTCGTCATTTCTCTGAGGGTAGGACCGATGTTCATGACGAACAAAGAACAGGTCGGCTATCTGTGATCTCTGATGCCCTTCTTCAGAGAACAGAGGAAGCAATTCGTTCGAATAGACGTCTCAAATTGAAAGAATTGCATCAGATCATACCGGAAGTATCAATGACAACTCTTTATGAAGTTGTGACTGTCAAGTTAGGGTACAGGAAATTGTGTGCGCGCTGGGTTCCAACAGGCGGCAACCTTCTATGACTGTGGGATACAAAAGCTTGTGCACCGACGTAACAAATGTTTGGATAAAATGTAAGGAAGAAAGAAAAAAAAAAGTTTCTGTTTCTAGAGCTTTGTTCTCTCATTCGCTAAATTCCAAGAGAGAATTTGATATTAACTGACATACGGCTCACAAAGCGGAGAAAATGAAATGTGGCATTGTTCATCAGAAATTGCATGATAAGAAGCAAGAAGCGGATCATGATGCAACTGGTAACTGAATATAAGACGCTTCACTCGGGCTGCTAAATGAATACAAGCTACATGAAATTCATAATACAGACGAAACTGGATTGCGTTGCAAAACATTACCAGAATTAACACTGAATATTTAAAACAAACAGCAACTGGTTTAAAAAACTAAAGGAATAAATTACTATGTAATTACGTGCAATATGGACCCAACATTAAGAAGACAGCCCTGATTATTGACAAAAAGCAGAAAACCTGTATGTATGAAAGGAATTAAGAATTTACTTGTAACTTACCATACACGTAGCAACAAGAACTCATGGGTGATACATAGTCTTTTTGCTGATGTTCTTTTAAAATGGGAGAGCGAACTGAAAAAATGAAAAAGAAGCTTTACTAATTAGATAACTGGGCAGCACACTCATTTCTGATCTCTTTTTGAAAAACATTAGTCCCTCTTCTTGCAAATACGAATTTGAACAGTCTACCTTTAATTTTAGCGTATTATACAAGCTTTCAAATGTCATTACAGAAAGGTGTTCAATAACTAATGAACATCGGATAATTGAGTTTTGTGGAAATGCAAGCACTTCTTCGATGAAGATAAGTAAGTCGACATCTCAGTTAGAGGTCATGCATATTTATAGTCAATGTTGAGGGTTAAAGTCAGTTAAATAACTCTTTTTGAAAATGTGTTTTTATATGTGGAAGAAGCCTCAGAGGAAATGCAAACTGCAGCTAATATTTAAGATATAAGTGAGGGAAGCTACGAAGCTTCATTTTTAGAATATGTGTTAAGGGGACTCATACATCTTAAAACCCACAAGATCTTCAAATATGTGACTGTTGCAAGAATTGTGATAACTTATTTATTTTAAAATCAATTACTTCCAAAGTTTTACAGCTGACTACATAATATAGCTGCTTTTTGAAATAGTCATCAGAAATTTTGTGTTGCCACAAATATTTTTATAATTTAATCCTTTTTGTGACAAAACTTTTCGTCATGTTTTCCACCTCGCGCGCACAGTTTAAAACATGTTATTCCGTAATTTAATTCCATATTTAATATATAGCTTTCATAACATTTGGAAACTACTGTGAACCAAAAATTTTAAGAATTTCATGTTAAATTTTTATTCTATTTGGAGTTGAGTTTATAAAATGTATTTTATTAAAAAGTTTGTAATGTTTTCGTCCATAAATTTTTTTAATATTAAAATATTCATCAGATTTTAGGTTCACTTAGAAAATACTACCCATATAAAGAATTCCATCCAATTTCAAGTATGTACCATTAGCCATTTTTAAAATATCATGCGCGCAAGGTGGAAACATGGCGAAAAATTTTGTCTCAAAGCGGATTAAATAATAAAAATATTTGTGGCAACACAAACTTTCTGGTTACTAGTTTCCAAAGCAGCCATATTATGTAGTCAGCTGTAAAAAGTTAGAAGTAATTGTTTTTTAAATAAATGTAATATCTCAATTCTTGCAACAGTCACATATTCGAAGATCATAAGGGGTTTAAGGTGTATGAGACCCCTTAATTCACAATAATGTTGAGACAACGTGTATGAAAATTGATCAAGGAAGTGCTAAGAGGAGTGTAGAAACTGATAGCGATAGTAATATAGAAAAAAAAAGTGATGACATGCCATCATCAATCGAATCTAGAGGAGAAAATCCTAAAAAAAGTTCTTAAACTGAAAGCTGCTGATTAGAAAAGGTAACAGCAGTTTTATGAAATTGAAAATACAGTATGAAAAAACTCTTGTTGAAGAATATGAAACAAATACAGTTAGGCTACTTGTTTATAACAGATAAAATTTCATCAAAAAATAATTATAAAAATATTTTTATGAAAAATTTCAAAACGAATTTAAAAACTGCGTAAATAGTTTTCGTATTAATTTGGAATTATTATTTTTAGATTACTTAAGGAATCGGTTGTTAGTAATTGTTTTTATTTTGAATGTCTAAGAAACTGATATTACGGTTTGTGATACACAAATTGCCATATATGAAACTCAGACGGTTCGATCCGATCCGAACAATTATTGCTGGGGTAGCACGCGAAGCGCGCTGTTTCCAGCTCTTGAAGAGATGCCTGAAGGCACACGGCAGTAGTAAGTCTGACGTGGTATAGTTGTGAGGATGAGGCCATGGAGGTAGGAAGTAAGATAGGAAGGTAGGAAGCAAGATGCCGCAAGCCTAGGAATTAGGCTAGACAAGAAGACGCGCCGCAGACGGAGCAGTGCAAGGTAAAGCAATCACGAGTTATTATGTTGAGATACTGTGAAAGCATAAACATGACATAACGAGTTTGTAAGAATACAAATTCTCAGAAGCATACGTTTTGTTAATATAAAGTTACAGTGACAAAAACGCAATTAGTAAAATCAGATATAATTAAAGAAGTTTTGATAAAATAATGAGAAACGTATTCATAAATGCTATGTACAATATATACAACTATATACAGGAAGATTCTACTTCATGTAGGAGCGCCCACCAGCGGCCGAGCGGTAACGTCGCTGAACACTGGTAGTTCGGTCCGAGGTTCGAATCCCGCGAACGGGCTGGCTGCATGGGTGTTTTCGTGGTTTTCCCCATGTGTAACGTGTATATGAGCCAGTTTCCCTTAGAAAGTCCTCCACGAAGGCATCCGTCCTCTTAGGCAGATAGCCCTCGATGCTTTGCCGTAATTAAATAACCTAACCTAACCTAACCTTTATGCAGGAAAGTTCAGATCTCTGGCTAGGTGGGCTGCAAGCGGACGTAACTCTTTATCTTCAGGTAGTGGAATGTAATCAAATACTTTTACTTTTATCATGTGAGGGCATGTAATTGCTTTCTGGAAAAAGCTGGAGTTTAAACGATGAAGATGCTCTATGACAGTTTCAATTTTCAAATCCTTGTGTAATGAATGTCTTACTTGATACAAAATAATACACACTCGTGAAGGTGCGCAGCAGCTTGTTCTGTGTAATTTGTAATTCAGATATATCCCTGTCTCTAATTGATGCCCACGCAGGGAATGCATACGTGAAGATTGGCCGTGTAAGAGAGATGTATAAGTGCCGTTTTCTTCTAAAGTCCAGTTTAGAGTGCTCGTTAAGAAGTGGGTTAAGACTCTGAATGACTCCTAGTGTTTTTCCCCTGACATGAGTCAGGTGATCCTTCCAGAAAAATTTATCGTTAATCATAACGCCAAGGTAATTCGCCTTGCGTACTCTAGGAACTTCTGTGTCAAATAGCTTCAGCTTTTCTGTGATTTCAGTAGCAGAGTTTTTCTTTCTTAGGCGGTTAATAAACTAAAATGCTTTTGTAACGGAAGTGTGAATTTAATAAACAGTGGGTAATGCATAACGTGCGAAGCACAATGTATAGAAGGTCCCAAACTTATTTTTTTGTACATGTAGCCCTTCAAATCCGGTTCCTTTTACATTTTTGTACAAAGTAAAAAGGAAATATTGTAATCTCGAAAAGTTTCAGGCATCATATTTCAAAGAAAATATCCATTTTGATCGCTATCGAATGCAATTTAACGATGTTTTTGCGTGATATCTGTACGTAAGAACAGAATAAAAGACTCTTTTAACCCAAAAAATTATAAAACTGATTTAAAATGAATTCTGAAGAGAATTTTTCTGTCTGTACGTTCTGTAGAGTCTGTACTTTCGTACGTACGTATCTCGCATAAGTCAAAAAGATTACCCTCATAACTTTGAAATTTTGTACATGAGACTGCTATAATGTGTGCACCAATAGATGTGCACCTCGTATTTTGGTTGCAATCGGCCGCACCATGCGTATATAAATATATGTACGCTTGGTAAGCCTAATTATTTTTGCGAGATATATATATATCCACTCTGTTACCCGACTCATTGATGTCACTTTCTTTATTCTTATATGTTTGTAAGTTGTGCATTTTTTGCTTTAAAAATGATTGAATTATGTTGTTCTTGTCTCCCGCTTAAGGTTTTTATGCCTTTAGTAAATCTGCATGCAATATTTGTGGAGTTATCAATAATTTAAAAGTTGTTTAAGTGCAGGTAAGTCTAATTATTTTTGCGATGGCGGTCATGTTTATTTACATTTGGAACTTGGCAGAATAACGGATCTAGAGAAATCTTCGCAACAACAAAGATAACGCCTTCTTTTATTATTTCGGATTAAATCATGCTATTCTGGAATTTATTCGAGGAAATAAGTGTTTAAGATTTACTTCGCAATTTTTAATATAGATATCTTGAGTTTTATGTATTTTTGCCTTGGCAGGAAGTGAGAACTGAATGAATTAAATGAAAAGTACTGAATCATCTGTGAAAAACTGTTTCTTTTTCGTTTTGTTTTCTTAATTTCTTTTATACATCGTTTTAGATTTATTAGAGTGTTTGAATAGAACATGTGGCAACGACTGTATAATTCTTCAAATCAGAGCTTAATTTGCGCTGGAGCCCACCGGAGCCCAGCTCCGGTAATTCTTAGTTTTTGCGACATATACTAATTCTAGGCGGAGCGCATCGGAGCCCGGCTCTTTTTTTATGTAACTGAACAATAATTTCAGTAGAAATTTGGTATAGAAAATTTTAACTTTTAGCAATAATAAAATTATATAAGAAATTAAATTCGCTTATTAAATTTTATCTCTCTACATTTTATTTAATTTTACATACTTTAATCGTTAATGATTTTAATAAATAATAACAAATTAATTATGAATTAATTAAATGATAATTATAAATTAAATAATAATTAATATGTATTAATTATTAATATCAATCAAATAATAATTATTTAATTTGATACTCATTAACTATTTACTTTTCAATAGTTAATGAGTTAAAATTATCAATGATTTTAATAGTCATTTTATTTGTTTATTTACTCTTGTTACGCTTTCCTGATGGTCTTTCTACTTTTAGAAATTAAGCCTTGCTTCAAATGATATAAATTTTTTGCATTCTGAGTTATAATAAGATCCTCAGCCCCGCTCACGCTCACTACAATTTTCGCCAAAAGGTGGCGCCAGGTTTACTTCTCTTCTAGAGACTATGCACTAGGTGCAAAAAGTAAGTTCCATCCTACTGGATTCAACTCATCATTAAAGATACCCTATTTATAATATATTTGTAAAGGCCGCACTAGGCCGATTGCCTCTTAATTGCGCTACGACATAGACGACATAGTTATAATATGAACGAAATGTAATGCTGTTAAGTGAAGTTGGCGTCAGAGATTCGCTATGGTAAACAAATATAATGAATTTTAAAAAGTGCATTTATTCTATTGTGGTTTATGCGCTATCGACGAAGTAGATTTCATTCAATCCAATAAGTTTAAATGAAATTCAAGAATGCATATAATTTAATATTCCGTACAAGAAAGACATGTGGTGTACACATCAG